CATGCGGGCTGAGGGGGCTTTTAGGGATGTAGGTGTTTGGGAGTTTGGGGTATAGGTGCTCCACAAGCGGGGGTGGGGGAGAGCAAATTCCGCTTTGATTGATCACCGCCTCCACATCATCTATCCGGTGATACCATAGATTCAGGCTCAAAGCTATGCAGCTCTCATCAGGAACGGTCAGAACTGCATGATGCCACTGAGCTGGAATATACCTTGACTCGCCACAAACGTGAAGGACAGTTCTAGTTTATGCTAACGCACTACCAATTGACCCGCGGGTTAGGCTTGTTTTTGCTTGCTTCTCTGGTGTGGGGGGGGGGGGGGGGGGGGGGGGGGGGGGGGGGGGGGGGGGGGGGGGGGAGGGGGGGGTGCTAGTTTCGTTCTGTCTGACGACGTCCATCACAAAGCAGTCCTGGGAGTACTTAGATGGGCTGGTGGTTTGGTAATGGTTTAAGGCAGATACACGGGTCAGTATCCATGTGATATGTTGTTAGTATATCTTCATAAGCCGCTGTAACTTGTTACAGGTTGAGTAACTGTAACAACAGCTTAAATGAATTATGCAGTTTTCACTTAAATCCTGTAAACCATTAATGTGGTTCAGGCTCTTATGCAATTGAAATATTAGAATTAGATACATGCATTGACTGATTTACCTGAGATACTAAAGTGATAAGGAATGTCGATAACTTTGCTATTTTGCACTTATAGTTTTGCTAAAATGCAATGCAACAAACCAGTTGAGCAAGAACTCAGTTGTCGGTCGAGACAGATTTGCATGGCCAATCTAAGAACAGGAAACGTGCGGTGCTGAAAATGTGTGTAGTGGTCCGCTAGAGTTAGAACAAGCAGAGCCTTTCCAGGCTTGTCTGCAGAGACACATGGAGGCCTTGAGCAGATTTTCGTTTAGGGTTCGCAACCTCGCGTTTTCCAGAATCGCCTGAGAAGACTCAGCTTAGCAAGCTCACAGTGTTGGAACCGCAGCCTTACCAGGCTCAGCTTCGGCAAGGATACTTAAAGCCAGCATCCAAGGCCCTGGCGAAGTAGCACAAGCCCTAAAACCTCCAAGCTCAAAGCTTAAACCCGATATCCCAAAACGTTGTTTCGCTTGGCAGAAAACACGCAAAACACTACTTCCAAACATGAAACACTAGCGAAACAAGGACCCGAAAACTGTAGAGGTTGCCCAAGCCTGTCTCCCAAAGCATGAACTGATAAAGCAGAGATCATCTTTTTACCTCGGTAAAACTGCCATTTTGCCCGAAGGCCCCCCACAGACTACAAAAGCATGGCGACAACGAAGCCCCAGAAACGCAAACATCGACCGAAAACCCAAAACACCGTTTTATCCGGAAAACTTGAAAGACATGCTGCCGGACAATAACGCCATCAAATGCAAAACCTTGCTTTCGCCGAGGCAAAAACAGCAAAAACAATCATTCAAAAGATAAAACAATCGCGAAAGCATGTCCCTAAAACTTGCCCGGTTGCGCAACGATGTCTGCCAAAACAAGAACTTATAATCCAGAAATCATCGTTTTACCTCGGCAAAACTACCTTTTTGCCTGAAAGAGCACCCCTGCTGTCGCGCGGGTCGTTTCGCGTGGCGTTACCTAGTTTATGGCACACGGATGTCTCGACGACAAGATGCTCCACATACTTTAGGATGTCAAAACGCCCGATCTGCTAAGCGCCCGAAATACTAAGTACATATGCATTCTCTCACTGCTTCTGCATTGAGTTGAGTTGCTTCGGTTGGGGGACTTGGGGCCCTAAGCCCTCTGCTATACGTCGTTAGACCCGCAACCCACAACTCTGAAGATACATCGGGCCTTCACAAACAGAATGTCAGAACTCACAATCCTCCATCAGGGCTTTGAGGTCCCTTCCATAGTTCCCGGTTGCATGTCTACAGCAGGGCTTACACGAACGAACGCCCCTGAAGGATCATGCAAGCACACATAGGGCTACGAAGTAAGCTTTTGAGTCAAGTCGGGTTGAGCTAAGCGGATTAGCAAGAAGTGATGGGCACACGGTCCTACAACCGGGATGAGAAGCAGAAAACTGTCAAGCAGGTGCAGGGTCACATTCCCCAAAAACTCCAGTACCCGCAACACAGGTATCACTGGCACACTTTCGGTCTCATTGATCATTCTTGGAGTCTCGTGGATTGCAAGCAGGCTGCAAGACATCGCCGGCTCGAAGATGACATAGAGCACCCTCGGCCTACTTAAATCCATGAACCCACAGTCTGAAACCTTAAACCTTTACCCGAAAAGCCCTATCTCTAGTGACCTCTCCCTCTCTCCATCGTCTCTCTGTCTCTCTCCGTCTCTCTCGGTGTCTCTGTGTCTCTCTCTCTCTCTCTCGCTCTCTCTCTCTCTCTCTCTCTCTCTCTCTCTTTCTTTGTCCGTCTCTGTCCTTCTCTCCCTCGCTCCATCCCTCCTCTCCCTCCTCGTTTTCATCGCTTCACGTGTTCATTGTTGCTTCGTTCTCTCGCTCTCTCGTTGCATTGACCATCCCTGAGCCCGAATGTAGGAGCCTGAGCAATTAGACTAGTTGTTTCTGGTGGGCATAGTATCGCATGGTTGTATGGAGCTATGAGGGGAGTCCCACTCTTCTTCATACCTCTTTATGACAAGCCTTAATGCCGGGGACGAAAAAATTAATCCCAATGCTCCAACTCCCCAGAACCGTAACTTTCACACCCAAAGTCACCTCAAAGACTGGCTTACAGTTGAAACTTAAGTCCTAAGCCCTAAACCCTATAAGGCCTAAACGCCGGAACACCGAACCAAATCAACACTAAACCCCCCAATCGTTCTAAGCAGGCCTCGCTGTAGCTTTTGAGCAGCTCGGGTGGCACATCCTCGCAGAGTTAGAGCAGATCCAAGATTAGAGTTTGGGGTTTAGGTCTAGGTTCGGGGTTAAGGCGTTGGGTTGTAGGGTTTATGAAGACAAGGTTACAACGGTTACAACCAGGACTTTGATGGTGTTGTTTCTTTTGCTGCGGCTGCAGTCGCTGCTGCTCTTGCTGTAGTTGCTGATGTGGTCGTTCTAGTAGTCGACGTCGTCGTCGTGGTCGTCGTTGATGATGCTGTTGCTGTTTGTAGCTGATGTTGCTGCCGTCGCTGCTGCCGTTGCTTGTGCTGGTGCTAGTGCTGCTGCTGCTGCTGCTGCTGCTGCTGCTGCTGCTGCTGCTGCTGCTGCTGCTGCTGCTGGTGGTGGTGGTGGTGGTGGTGGTGGTGGTGGTGGTGGTGGTGGTGGTGGTGGTGGGTGGTGGTGGTGGTGGTGGTGGTGGTGGTGGTGGTGGTGGTGGTGGTGGTGGTGGTGGTGGTGGTGGTGGTGGTGGTGGTGGTGGTGGTGGTGGTGCCGTTCTTGTTGCTGTTGCTGTTAGGATACTGAGGTTCGCTCTTGCCGTTGCATTCGTCGTCGGAGTTTATGTCGCTGGCGGGTGGCGGCGATGGCCATGGTGATGATTGTCATGGGTGTCCTGCTGATGGTGCAGGTGCAGGTTTATAAAGTGCATGAAACGATACTGGATGCGGCTTCCAGAATCGCCACAAGAAGAAACCCAAAAGCCAAAGAGACCTCAACCCACACCAAGTCCTGAACACGAAAACGCCCTGAACCCACGACACTCCCGGCACCCTGGTTCGTTCTTGGAAACCTGTCCTTCGGCATGGCGCCGACATCAACTGCCGAGTGGCCTGCCCGGACAGACGTACGCCTACCCCCCAGGCTGACCCTATCTCGGTGTTCAGGGTTACAGGGCTCAGGGTTTAGGTGTGCGACAGCACTCAGTGCAAGCTCTCAGCGGTGTTTTCCAGTTGTCTTCTAGTGGCTATGTATATGGTGCACCCGGAACAAGACCTTACACCTTAATGCCTGAACTATGTACCTTCCAAACCCTATAACAAAACCCCGCGCTTCACTTTTCGGAGCCAGCAATTCTATACTGAACTTACAACCCTAGCAAAAAAATACAATTTTAGCTGTTTGTTAGGGACTATAATAACCAAAAATTAAAAAGAATCTAAGTACCCCTAAGAATTGAAATAGCTGGCCTGTCGCCCCTGCCGCACCTGAGTCCGAACCGACCCAAAGCGTCCCAAGCGCAAACCTACTAGAAGCTACTCATTGGTCTGGATCTAAATATGAACCCAAAATGCAAACAACAACAGGAACCCTGCAAAAAGCAATCTACTGATAAAAGGCGTCTGAAGAATTGGATATGATTTTGGTGTGTATCATGTCATGGTAGAGGGAGTCTAGGGGTACAGCATTTCTCATTCGATCGGCCCCTATACTACAGGAAAAGGCCTTCTGACTGTTCCAGCTCCTACATAGCGGACCTCCACAGCCCCGAAACCTGGACACTAATTTTAGGTTTTCGGAAATCTCGGTAAAAATCCCTGAATGTCGCCACAACACGTTTGTTCCATTTTGAACCTGGCGCCAGATGTGACTTTGCAGAGTCTGGACTTCGAGTTGTGTGAAGCTTTCAGTGTGACCCTCACAGCCTCGCTGGGTTTAAAGTTCAGGGCTTAATTGGGATTTGGAGTTTAAACTTGGGGGGTGTTGGAATCTTTATGCCTTATTTCGTTATGCTACGAAGTCAAGTAGCCAATGAAAAGGTACAATCCAGGGACTCGGTAGGGTTTCCAGTCAACCTCTAAGGTTCATGCAGGGGCCTGCAAAATCAGAACAGGGTTCAGGGTACCCGGCTAATATTTCGCAAGAAAGAGCCTTCGGGAATAGTGTGGCAATTCATAGGCCCTCTGCTACTCCGTAGGATTTACCCATTTTGGGTATACCTTGTAGGATCCTTTGCGTAAATACCGCAGCAAGATATCGTGTTTAGCGTTCAAGCCAAAGATTACCGATTCGAGGGTTTACTCTAAGGCCCCAAAGTATAGTTCTTTTTGGAGGTTCATATTTAGAACCTTATGAGGTAATTAACTCCGAAAAAGGAACTACTATGGGGCCTCTGGGTAGGCCTAGCTTGCTAGCGACTTCGAAGCACGCTGAAGGAAGCGCACCACTCTCCAGTGACCTTGCTGCTCTGCTGCAGCTAGTGGGGTCCTGTGTAGGGTTTGCGGAGTATAAGCCCCAGGATGGTTAAACTCATGATTTCCGGGTTTAAAGCAGTCTCGGGCTCAAGCAGTTTCGGGTTTGCCGCTTTCCGGGCTAACCGCGCCACGCATAATCCTACTCACAATTCTGTTTAGCCCTGCTGGCCGCAGCGATTTTGGTCGGCGGTCTAAGCATTGAGGCCCGTATAAGTGGTCGTGATCTGAAGTCTGAGCCTTGAAGTTGGGTGGGGACATAAGACGTATACTTCTCAGACGCAAGCAGGCACATGTAGCGGAGTCCTGCCCAGATCATCAGCAGCATGCGCGTCACCCCCAGCCTTTGACAGCAGGCGCACAATGTTCAAGTGGCCGCCCTCACACGCTTCTCGGAGAGGGGTCCTGCCACCTTCCCCGCGGGTGTTCACATCAGCATTGGAGTTCAAAAGCACCTCTGTCGTTGCCAGATGGCCCCTCTCGCAAGCTTGCAGCAGTGGTGTCTCGCCATCGTCGTAGGAGGACTCCGTGGGGGCGCCGGCCTGCAGCAGCAAGCGCACGATCTCTTCATGGCCAGAAGAAGCGGCGAGCCAGATGGGCGTTTCCAGGGTGATTCGTGGTATCCCTCCATCAGCTCGCGATTCCAGCAGCAACTTCACGATGTCTTGATATCCCAACTCTGATGCAGCTTCCAGAGGAGTCTGGCTCTCATCCTCGGGCAAGCCGATATCAGCACGAGCCTCAAGCAACAAACGGACGACGTCGATCCGACCACTGTAGGCAGCTGCCGTAAGAGGCGAGTCACCAATACCGTCGGCATTCGGATCGTCCGGCCGCTGAAGGGCAGCTTCCACTCTGGGAATGGAACCAACAAAAGCTGCATCATGAAGCTCGGCTTCGGATTCATGGTCCGGCTTGCAGAAGTTCAGAAGAACCAGCTGCACTTCCGCGGGTGCAGCCGGCACAGCGTCGTCATCCTGCAGACAAGCCCACAAGAATCCCGCCACAGAACTTCGGAAGCCTTCCAAGATCAACTGCTCGGATTCCGAGGCTCTGAAGGCACCCAGCCCGAACCCAATCTAATGTGTGGACCTTAAATAGAATATGACATCCCCGTAAACCCTATTCTGATATCATTAAGGCCCCTATATTATGCAAGCTCATCCTGCATCACGTGGCCATCAAAGAGCAGCCGCTGCCGAAACCGGGGCAGACCGCAGAGTGGCTGCAGAAAGCGCTTCAGAGCCCGCACGTCTCGGAAGCTTTCACGGTCCTCCAAACGGCACAGGGCTTAGACCCTCTAGGGTCTAGCTTTTGTTTTTTAAGGGTTCGGGGTTTCGGGTTTAGGGGTTAGGGAATTAAGGGGTTTACAGTTTAGGGTTCGGGTCTCAGAGGCTTTCATTACGATATTTCTCGTGACGGGTTAGGGTTGGGGGGTTGGGGGCTTGGGGTTTCACAAGTCGCAACAACCGGAACCCTAGTTTGCAACAGCCCTCATATTGTAGTGGCACTTGGGTCGTAGAGTAAGCACTACATACCCACATGCCTTTCGACAGAAGGTCCTACTCAAACTCCAAACACCCCGCGAACCGCGAACCGCAAAGCCCAACCTCCGCCTCTGCGCCGAGCATGTCCGGTACATCAGGCCCGGCAATCACGACAAGGCCCCGCAACTTCCAAAGCACCCGCACTTTTCAGAGTTTCAAAGCAGAGGGGACAACACTACACACCCTTATTATCTATCAGCAACCTCATCACAGGGACTGAGTTGGGTAGCTATCGCTGAGCTTCTAAAACTCCGAATCGGCTTCGCGGCAAGACCTCGGCGGATACAGCAGCCAAAAGCTCGCCGGAAGCTGCCTCCACAGGAGAGCTTCGACGCGTTTCGGGTTTGGGGCGGTTTACAGATTGGAAGCGTCTCAAAGCATGTTGAATTCAAGGTTCTACGAAAGTTCAAAATGCAGACCTCCCGAGGGGAGGTCTGCGTCTCGCTCGAAAGCTAGAGCTAAGTCAGGGACCCCGGGACATGGACCGGAAAAGGCACCCACTACAGGACCCGGTTTTATAAGTATGAAGCCACTGCTAGGAGATAGGATTGCTGGTTATTCAGACCTCCACCTTAACATGAAACAGCAAGCAACCACCTGCCATGGCTGGGGTTAAGGCTTCATGGTTTCGAGTCTAGTGTTTTGCGTTTGGTGGTTTCACATCCCATGCTCGTCTACCCTCCAGGTCCAAGTACATACCCATAGGCCCCAAAGTAGTTCCTTTTTGGGGTTCATATATAGAATTCTATTAGGTAATCCCAAAAAGGAACTACTTTGGGGCCTATGGGTAACAATCACATACTTTCCGAAATACCCGTTCGCAGCTTCCAGTGTCCTACAGCCCACTATATATGGGAGCAACATACGTGCCTGACTATAATCACTAGTCACTAGAATCTTCTTTCATAGCCCCATACAGTGAAAATATCATCTAATTGATGAAGGAACCTAATTGAAAAACCTATAAAACTCTACAAAACCCTCTTAATTGAGCCGTGATTGTTAAGGCTCCGAAAGACTTCTCAGCTCAGAATGAGCCCCGTATCGAATTACTATGGCAGCTATGTTATCAGACATCTAAATCTAAAGCACGCAAAACACGACGCTGGAATACTGAACCTGACAAGCTTCGCAACCACCCCTTCTTATGATGAAGGTTATGTGCATCATTAAACCTACCAGCAGCGCGTTGTAAGCTCCGCAAAGCGGTTATGACATGGACACAGGTCCGCATCTCAAACCGTTACCCACAATCCCAAAACCTAAACCCCTAAACCCAACACCCTAAAACCCAAACCCTAAACCCCTAAACCCTACACCCTAACTCTGAACCCCTAAACCCCAAACCCTAAACCCCAAAGTCCTTGCGGATTTCCAGGCCAGGTTCGGTTGCAGGCGCTTTTCGCTTCATGGCTCAACAGCAGCAGGGCTCTGAGGCTTCGGAGCTTAGGGTTTTGGGGTGTGAGATTCAGAGTTCTAGGGTTTAGGGTTTAGGGTTTAAGATATAGGGTTTAGGGTTTAAGGGTTTTCGGGTTTAGGGTTTAGGGTTTAAGGGTTTTCGGGTTTAGGGTTTAGGGTTTAAGATTTAGGGTTTTAGGGTTTGGGGGTGTACGAAGGTTTTAGGGTTTGCGGTTTACGGCTTTGGGGTTTGGTGAGTCTATATAGCTCCTCGGTTAACGGATGTTGAGGGTTTGGGCGAGTTGGAAGCTCGCGGTTCGAAAACTTGGGCTTGGGCTGTATAGGGTTTGGAGTGTAGTGTAGGGGTTATCGGCCTTTACGGTATGTATGTATGCGTGTATGTTTGTATGTATGTATGCAAATATATATATATATATATATATATATATATATATATATTATAATATGTATATATGTATATATGTGTATGCACATCTATACGTATTAAACTACCCGGTAACCTTGCAAAGCTGAAGATGCGTGCCGCATCCGAGCAGAGCTGCATATTCTGACATCGAACGCGGAACCGAAATTGCGCTTCGGGACGCTGTAATATCACCACACGGTCCGTAAATTTCATATTGCCGCCTCACCGGAGACCATCCTGGCGACGATTTGCAAACCCTCAAAGTTGCAATCCCGAACCATCAGCTGATGAACACCGGGGTATCCTCGAAACCTCGGCTAACTAGCCCGTCGCAACAGCATCTTATCTAAGCCTTACAGCAGACCCGGAACTGCTACCCCGATGCTCGGAAAGGCTTGTGCTCTTATTTCGGGTTCCCATCAATCGGTTTAGGATTTAGGGTTTAGGGGTTTAGGGGTTTATAGGGTTTATAGGGTTTAGGGCCCAAACAGCTCCATGCCCGATGTACTGCCTGAGCCTTTACAGACCCTGAACCCCCTCGTTGGCACCTGAGCTTTTTCGATGGAGGTTGTATTGGCCTGGCGGGTCGGTGCTTTGGGCAAGTACTTCTCTTTGCTTTGATGTAATTGAGGGTTTAGGGTTTAGGGTTTAGGGTTTTGGGTTTAGGGTTTAGGGTTTTGGGTTTAGGGTTTTGGGTTTTGGGTTTTGGGTTTAGGGTTTTGGGTTTAGGGTTTAGGGTTTAGGGTTTTGATGTAATATTGCTACTGCTACTATTATTAAAAGCGAAGATATGATTGACCAATCTGCGGCGACTCAAAGGCTGCAAGGACTCAAGATTTAAGCTCTGCATGACAAGGTACGGGCTAAGATTCAGGTTTCGGGTTCCATTGGGCTCCGGACCTCTACGTAGGAGTTGAGGTGCTTCGGATGAACATTGCCGAACAAAGAGCGGCTTGTTTGCAGCACATCAACGTCTGAGAGCTAGCCTTCATTTATCATCTTCTCGATCAGGCTTCCGGCTAGATAGGTTATATGCACACAGTGCAAGAAAGCTCAGTGGTCCTGTACGCGCTGTGCTCCTTAACCCTGAATTCTGGATAACATACGGAAAGATTAAATGAATGCATGGTCCTGCAAACCTGCCTGCTGAAAGCCTTCTTGCCGTTCAGTTCTTCATGTGAAGCCAGCAGTCTGTTCTAATCCTGAGTACATTGCAGTATATAATCTAAAATCAGGGGCCCCTAAGCGATACCTGTAGTATGCAATCAGGGATCAAAATTAATTCTCCTCGCCTATGCTGGCGATACCATCTGCCGAGAGCGTCGTCTTTGGCTCTGCGTCAATCATCTCCTTCTGGGACGCAATTAATATGTGGAAGCTTATTAACCTACCTGCAGTCTCCATTGTAGTTCCGTGTTCGGTTTGACAAAAGAAAACTTAGGATCCTATCATGCAGCACAGAAATGGATTTCCAATGGATACTATAGGATAACTCCAACGCTGTAGGATGATACGATTCTCTCAAACGACTCTCAAGGATCAAGACCCTCTCCACAGAAAACATTAAAAGCACAACTTCCATAACGACCTGCACCCTGGGTTGCCTCGGTTAGTAGGAGGTTTAGGGTTGGAGTGTGGTGTTTTGGCGGGTCGGCGTATCGTTTGCAAATTTGTTGCGTCTGCTTGTCTGTTGTTTTGCAGCTGTGAGTTTGCATGATGGTTGCAAGTTTTGTGCAGCATTTTGCTGGGCTTTTAAGTACCCAGGGAGAAAAAAGTATAAACTTGTATTTCATAATGGTTCCTTTAAGAAAAGAGTATTAAAGTATGGTACTCCAAAGCCCAGTTTGTATGATTATCTGATTGTCGCCTGATGCACAGCAAAATCTCTAAACCCTTCAACCCTAAACCCTACAAAGCCAAAGCCCTAAACCCTAAAACCATAAACGAAGCTCCTAATTCTAGAAGCTCCTCGTATGCCAGCTTCGACTGCTGGCTCGGCCGAAGTAGGGTCAGCTCCTGTGGGCTCTCCATCCCTTTTTTTCCACGATGGCAACTTTCAAGCTAGGGAATAATTGTGCTAACTTGTCTAAAACTCATAAGGTGCTTTTGTTCCGTTTTAGCCATTTTCATCCTGATTTGTGCCGTCATGTAAGCAGGCTAAGTTAGGCCAAAGGTCTCTGCGCGACCCTTGCGCCGACGATTTCTCGCGAAGGTTTAGATTTTAGGGCCTAGGGTTTAAGGGACATTTAAGGGTCGAGGGTTTAAGGATTTGAGGGTGTGGGTTTAGAATGTAAGGGCTCAGGGTTTCGGGTGCGGGCCTATGGTTTGGGTGTGAGGGCCCTAGCTGCGCACCATGGTTCGGGAGCTCTGGGATTCGGATTCAACTCTTCGGGAAAAGCTACGGTTTAGGGTTTAGGGTCAAAAGTGCGGTTCTACGAGGTCACACATACACATTAGTTTACGGGTCCTCCGTACATGAACCCTCGGCTGGTCTGTCTGCGTGCATGCATCCTGTGCCCGCACTTCTCACAGACTCAGGGAGGATTGCTTGTGCCTCCCGAACTACCTACGCAAGTACAACCAAGGCAGTTTAGATATTTTACACACGTGTCGGATACCCTCAAACCTACATGCTAAATCCTTGAACTCCGAAGAGAGTTTATCCGCGAGTTGTTCGTTAGAATCGGTCTGGCTCCAGAGAGTGTGAGTGGTGCCAGTGGTGGCAATATGGGGGGTCATACAGATGCAGAAGGAGCGAGAGAGAGAAGAAAGACAGAGAGGGCCTTACTGCCTCAACCTACAGCAGACCAGACATGAGAATCCTGCGTAGCTCAGGGTTCAGGAACCAATTCAAAAGTACTCTCTCCACATCGCGCCTTACTGCCAGAAAGCTGTGCCAGCAGGTTCTCCGGGCCATCGGTGTGGAAGCCCGTCAGGGCAACGTCTGAGCGGATTGAGACTAACTATGTAGGCCCACAGGCTGGCGGCTGGCAGGTGCATGGCTTCGATATCTGTTCGTGAACTTCTATCCTCTCGGGTAGTAATCGTAGCACATGCAAGCACGAAGAACACTGCTAGTGGCACAGCCTGACATTTTGGTGGGCATGTTGCGGGGCGCTGTCCTCCTCCTCCTGCTCCTTCTCGCCCTCCTCTGCCTCCTCCTCCTCCTCCTCCTCCTCCTCCTCTTCCGCCAGCTCCTCATCAGCATCTTCTGCAGCACCATCATCAGCGTGTTCATCATCATAATCTTCTTCATCGTCTCCAGCATCAGCCAGGCATCATCACCATCATCACCACCATTCTCGTCACGAGAAGCATCACCTCATTGCGCGACAACTCACTAGCTTTATGGTTTAGAATCTATTATGATCTGTGCGGTTGAAAGAGTTCAGAATTACAGGGTCTGCAGCATTTGACATTCATGTTTCTAGGTCGCGGGGTTTAGCACCTAGACGGTTCGGGGTTGGGGGGTTCGCGATTCAGAGTTAGTGAGTTTTGGAGCTAAGAGCTCAAGCTCTATGCGGTCTCTGATGTTGGAGTGGTGATGCACACAACTCTAAGTCTCAACGGATGCTCGGTCGAACCAGTCACAAGATAGATGCTCGGTAAACTCGAGAAGGGGCTCGGAGATCAATTTAGATACCGGCTATAGGGCTTTAGGCCTACAGCCTCCGAGTGCCTGTAGGCATGTCATCCAATTTCCAAGACAGCAGGACGACTCATCACTAAACCTCTGCTTCACTTCCCATCACGGTATGACGGTATGCCCTAACCTTCCTATGCTAACCGATGCAGTACTAAAGCCCGAGACCCCGGTTCTGATGAGCCTCCTGTGAGCCACAGCGATGGCTGCCTGGGTCTCACAGCACCGAAGTACTGTCTTCATTCGAGGACAAGAAGATCTATAGGCTTATCTACAGTAGAAGCCCAAAAGTTGGAAACCCAATAGCCTCAACCCTGAAGAGTACTGAGTAATGTATTTGGAATCCCAGCACTATTTGGCCTTCATCCGGTTTCCCTCTTTATGGGGTTTACTGTACAAGTTGGGGGGTACCGGTACCTTACGTAGAGATCTATGTTGTCGGTTGGGATCCATAGTAGGATCTCTTTTCTTCTGAAGCTCCCATATGACGAAAGTCAGGACTCCGTAAATAAGACTGGTTCAAGCATCAGATCCTGTTGAGCATATTATGCACAAATCTAAACCCTAAACCCTGACACCGCCCCAAACCCTAAACCCTATAAACCCTGCACAATCATACGGGGACTACAAGAACTACGTTCCTGACACTTCAAGCCTCCTTGAAGTAGCGGGCTAAAGACGATCTTGGTAAAGCCAGAAAACACGGTTTGTGGGACGATTCTTGCTACAACTGCTACAACCATGATAAGGACGAAAAGGTCATACCGTCGTACTATTGCAAGGTCATCTTACGATCACTAAATATTATTCGGCCCGGATATCGTGCCCCAACAGACTCCGCAAAGAATTTCTTCACATCATCCTGCCGGAGTGTGTCCTGACAGCACCCAGTCTCGTCGTTCACTGGTTCTGACCCTCAAGATGAACCCTTAGGGTTTAGGGTTTAGGGTCTTAGGGTTTAGAGCTTGGGGTTTAGGGATTTAGGGTTTGGGGCTTCGGATTTTGGTTCTTTTAGGATTGAAGCGCCCCGCCCCTTGCTCTCGCTCCGGCGCTGGCCTTTGTCGGCTAACCGAGTGACACTTAAACGAATGCCGATCGTGTCCTCCGCACGGCATTCACCCAACTTCGTTCTTGTCATTCGGGGTTGAGGGTCTAGGGGTTTAGTGTTTAGATGTGTTTCATGTGTATAGTGGCTTAAGAGTTGAACTGCAAGTCTGCATACTGTGCCGCTGTCCGCGCTCCTCCTTACCAACCCCGCATGCTAGACCCAGGAAGCCTTCTGTAGGGGCCTGACTAAGTAGAATAGGGCTGCAGGCCATTATGCTGTGCTTTTAATCAGGATCCCCAATGATTACTATTACTAACTATTCAAGCTTCTATATCACCGTATAACCTAAACTCCAGCCCTGAATCCTACGCCAGGAGGAAGCCTGACCCCTAAACCTCTAAACACCGAAGCTGTAAAGGACAGAACCTGTTCCTTACCCTACAATAGCATACTTGATGGTATGAGTTAAAGGTTTAGGGGTTTAGGGCTTAGGGAGCGCAATGCGTGCATCTCGAAGCAAACTTCTGTCCTCAACAAAGCCCAAGCTATCTGAAAACCGAAACCCTACGCCCCAAACCCAAGCCTGAATACTTTAAACCCAAAACCCAAAACTCCAAAACCCAAACCCCAGACTCAACCCTCAACCCGAAACTGAACCCTAAGCCCAGAACCCCAGACTAAACCATACGCCCGAACCCCCAGACTAAAACCTATAAACCCAAAACCTCGAAGTAAATGCTGAACCGGAAAGCCTAATCTGAACGCGTGACCCTAAAACCCTACACCCTTCAAACCATGCACATTCCATAAAGCTCATAAACCCTAACCTCTATATAAACCCGAGATCAGCCTTATGTAAACCCTGTGTACACCCTATGGAAATCCTTTCCAGACCCAACCTTATCAACCCATATGAAACCCTATATACACCCTATAAGGAGAGGGCAGTTTGCCCAGGCACACCAACTTGAGAGTCTTTGCCCAGGCTGGTGTTCGCAACATCTGGAGCGCCTTGTCCGGTTCATCACCGATCATAATACATGGTACATACAATATATATATATATATATATATATATATATATATATATATATATGCATGTGTATGTATATATATATATATGTATTCACACAGTATGTGTATGTATGCTTATGCATGCCTACATGTTTTGCATATATATATGATACACATGCATAAGTATATGTATAAAAACAGTCATCTTATACTATGTACTACACTATGACAGATGATAATCTCAGGGCTTCGGGGCTTTTCCTCCACCCGCGTCAAAACACACAGAGCCTTGGCTCCCAGGTCAGGCAGCATGACCTGGTTCATGTAGACCGCCTCGTTTGCGGGTGTACGGGTTGAACGGCTAAGACCCTAAACCCTAAACCCCCTAAGCCTGAACCCTAAACCCTAACTTGGGGTTTAGGATGGTTCAGGGTTGGGGAGGTGAGGAGCTTAACAGTTGCATTACATACGTACATGTTACATCTACATATTCTGCACAGATAGACCCGACAGCAGCCAGCCTGTCAGGCAGAAGGCAGCCAGGTAAGCAAACACACGGGCATACATGCATGCGTGCATGAGGTGCAGGACCAGTATGATGGGTACTTCAGGGGAAAAGCCAGAGTTCGGGATTCGAAAATTCCCCGCAATCCGTGCCTGCGACGGGTGCCGTTCAGCAAAGGTTACGGCATCCGCCAGGCGCATGTGCCAGTTGCCTTTCGAGGACTTTGAGCTTCATTCAACTCTGGCCGAAACCCTAAACTCGGTAATCGGTAATCGAACCGTGCAGTGGGATATGGAGGGATACGGTACACTGCATTCTTCTGAAAGCTGTATCATGAACAACTGTACCCTCTCAAATTCACCACATTATTAATACAGCAGGAGACGGCTGTCAAGAATGCAGACCGCCACATTTCCGCGTCGGAAAACCCAAGAAAACCTCACAGACCCTCTGCCAGCCCCATATCAAACCCTATCGCATCCCATACTGCACCCCCCTATATATTTTCTTAGGTATCCTTTAAGCCCTTTGAAAATTATTTACTATTATGGCTCTCTGCAAACTAGTAGGGGGAATTAAAGAAGATCCCAAAGGACAACCCGGTGGTTTTCGGCTCGCTGAGGCCTGGTCGAAGCAATGCCCAGGCCGGCGAGGCGTCGCTGATGTTGGCGCTCTGCCAGGGCTTCTTCGGTTTAGGGCTTAGTTTTTTTTTTTTTTTGTGGGGGGGGGGGGGGGGGGGGTTTAGGGATTAGGGTTTAGGGTTTAGGGACTGGGGATTTAGGGTTTAGGGTTCTTCAGCTTTCGGGTTGCTAGGGTTTTGTGCATCTTAGTGGTGTTCTTCAGTCTTGGGGGGGTCTGCTCCTTAGTTCTTGTTTGAGTTGCGTGGTAAGAGGCTGGAGCGGATTAGAGTTTAGGGTTTAGGGTTTAGAGTTTAGGGTTTAGGGTTTAGGGTTTAGGGGTTTTGGGTTTAGGGTTTAGGGTTCATGTTGCACCGATTTGAGCTTCAAGCTTAGGGGAGCTTAGCTGGCCCTTCAGACAAGCTTGGGCTCGGGGATGTTTGTCAGTGCTGGGTGATGGGCTCCGCTAGGGCTTAGGGTTTAGGGTGCGACCTGAGCGGCGAACGACCTGTTCCGGTCGCCACAAGCAATGCTGCAGATATTCCGCGACAAGCTGACGGAGATACTGCAGGCTCGCGGACCCGTCGTCGCAGAAGGACTTCACCCAGGAAACTTGGTTCATGCCTTGTCGGTCAAACTCACTGCTCACGGAGAAGACTCCCGAGACTCAGCAAGTCGTCAAATGAGCTCGGCACATCCTTGGTACTGTCGACAACCTTCGCTGCTTCTTGCCGCAAGCAAGGGCACGGTTTTCCTGAGCCCGAAAAGCTGCTTCGTGAATCATCATACAAAAGCCTCAACTCTAAACCCTAAACCCTATCGTGAATCAGAATACAGTTTTTAAGGCATGGGCTTTCTGCCATCTGGCCAGGGTTCAGAGTTCGGGATGGAGTCCTGCTGAGGGTTCAATGCTGTCACCTAAACCCGAAACCCTGATACGAATACCTAAACCCTAAACCCTAAAGCTCAGTTTATCTCAGCGTTACAGACTCAAGGTGTAGGAGTCCAGGAGTTTACGATTAGAGGTTTATATAGTCATCTTGAGATCCTGACCCGATCCCGGAACCGCAAACTCCAAACCCCTAAAACCCTAAACACCCAATTATAGGGGCATCAAAGTGAGAATAGGGTTTTGGGGTCCTTTATACTACAATCATCACAAGGATCCCACCAAAATAGTGTTGGTAATTATTTAAGCCCCTATATTAAAAACTCCTTCAGACCCAAACACAAACCCGTGGACAAGACCGAATCTCTGTGCCGGAGGTCCGGGTTGCAGGTCGTCCTACTGCATTTCCTGCAGCATCTCGTTGCTAAGGGTTTGCGGGCCGACGAAACTAGAATCATCATAAGGAGTCCCCATACTATTGCAGGTAATTACTCAGGCTCCTTTATGCCTTGTCCTGCCAAGACCCGCTTGGGTAATCTGGTGAAACCGGGTAACAACGCTGACGTTAGCTGTCGGGGATGCTAAATGTTGACGGGCGTGACAAATTCACGCTAAATCGTCAACCCTCAGTAAGCCTTCGTAAAGTTTGAGGTTTCGGATACCGTGGTATGATAGAACTACCTATGTATGTATATTTTCTCATATATATATATATATAATTGCATACTATGCCTCTATTGAGTACTCAGCGAACCCTTGGCTTAACACAATAACTTACTGGAACGACCGTGAAAAAACCCAAAACACCGGCACCTGCTGCTCCAGGACGCGGCTCGACGCCTGCACGCAGGGCCAATCCAAGGCTGAGGCTCCGGTCTCGCTTTAGGGTTTAGGGTTTAGGGTTTGGGGGCCTAGGACGGGGTTTGGGTTACATCAACGAGATTAGGAACAGGAAGGGGGTTGTAGTACTAATTGTGCCGACTTGCAATCTGATTCTTGGGGGTTCAGGCTTGCAGCTTGGGGTAGCTCACAGGAAGGTGTTTTAATTGATCAGGGGTTTACATTGGGTCTACTCTTTGGGGCCTAAATAATAATTATATAGCAACACTGCTTTGAGGTTCATTATTATAGCTATAGTAGAACTTACCCCAAAACCCTATTCTGACTATCAAGGCCCCTCTAGGTTGCATTTCCATTGACCTTCAGTGCGATGCTTCCATAAGTAACGTTCGATCCGCTTTGCGACCGGAGAGTTCGTCTTGTGCTCAACAGTGCCAGACTGGTTGATAGACCCGGCGTTGCTTATTCCACACAGAGAATGCTGCACTTCAACTCCGCACGGGTGTATTCTGAGAGTCCTTTAACCCTAAACCCCTAAAACCCTAAACCCCTAAGAACGCTAAAACCCTACACCCTAAACCCCTAAACCCTAAACCCCAACCCCTAAACCGTGGCTGCAAGGTCGCCAGCGCCAGCTCGTGGTTTAGACCCTAAACCCTCGGGGAAAACAAACATCTTGGCAAGCTTAAGGCAGGGGCGCTGATAATTATCAACCCCAACTACAAGCCCTACATCCCCAACCGCCTCCTCTCTGTCCATGTATAATTAATCCCAAACCCTTAACTCTCAACTCTCAGTCAAACCCTCAATCAAAAACCTTGACTCCTACGCCCCTGAACCCTGAACCCAAAAACTCCACAATCCCATATCCTGTATCCTAAACCCTAAACTCAAAAGCGTTCTGAATCCTGACCCCTAAGCCCTAAAACTCCAAAATCCAAGATCCCTGGACCCTAAAACTCAAAAACGCTAAAACTCCAAAGTCCTAAATCCTGTAATTATCCTAAATCCTGAACCCTTAGACTCCAAAATCCTAAACCCTGAATGCCAAACCTACCATCCCCCCCCCCACCCCTGCCCCCCCACGCGCAGCCTCGATACGGTTCAGCGAAGACACTCCACCAAGGGCCTGGGTCTAGGAATTTGTCCAAAGTAGGATCCCTGTTTGGGTCCCACACCGTAGGGTTGAGGGTTTAGAGTTTAGATTTTGGGTCCCAAACTAGAGGGTGTTGCTTACCAGAATTCTCTAGGGCTCCTCCAAGGGACCATGATTTCGACATAGAGGCCTTCATCATGAGAATTGGGTTTTCTTTAAGGGTTCTAGAGGGGTTCTATGATGAGGCTCTTTCTAGTTTCAAGGGTTCTATCATGAGGTTCTTTAGTGATTGTTTCCAACGGTTGAGGCTTGATACAGGGCCCTAAATGTCAGAATATCGCCTGAAGCAGCTCGCGATCGCGGACCTTGAGTGCTGGCTCACCTAGACCCGGCTTTGTAACATAGTTTCTTTGATACCAGTACCCTTGTTTTTTATGAGGCATGATAGAAACTCAGGAGGAAGGAGGTTTCACGTCCCAGGGCTTAAAGCAACGACACTAATTAATAACAGCAGTGAAGTGACACAGACAAGAATTAGCAATCATGCACAGACTCAAATAGCAATAGTAAGAGTTCTAGTAGCATCATCATTGAACCTGCTGTAGCAATAGTAACAGTAGGAGCAAAAACTGTAACCACAACTCCAACACAAAACAGGCAGCACGTGCCTGAATTGAGCACAACAAGGAACTGCGAGGAGTTTCTGCTGTCAGAACAAAACAGAGAGCACACGAACAACAACAAGATCAACACGCATTTACTGTAGGAGTACTTGCTTGGACCCCCAAAGTATGAAGAATACTAGCCCTGTGTACGAAGACCAGCCCTTTCTACGTTTTTCGTCATTATTTCACCTCGTTTTGGTGTTCAGGTCATTAAACTCCAGATCTCTTTTGCCGTGCGCAGCGCCTCGTACGGAAACGAGACTTTTACCGTCTCGTTGCCTCCTGTCGCCAACCAGGGCTCCAATGGCCTGAAAGGTGCTCGGATTGGGCTTATAGGTTTAGGTTTTTTTTTTTATATAGGGGTCAACGGTTCAATTAGGGTCTAGGGTTTAAGGGTTTAATTTGGCATCTGCCCCCGCCCACTAACAGTGACCACAATCTGAACCACAACGAAAAGCACAAGAAAATCTGGTGGGTTCACCGGTTTTCCAAATTTGAAAACTGAACAGCCAGGAGCCTTGAGTGTGAAACCTAAATCTTCGACAAAACATGCCCCGAAACCATGCTTCCACTTTCGGTAAAGTCAACATCTGCCGAACGCACAGCCCAGAAGCAATTTTCGTTTTCAATTAGTCACTGGACTGCAACCCTCGGCCGAAGCATTTCGTTCCATTCCCTCTACGCGCAGCCAGGGATGGCGGGGGGGCCTGGGTGGATGGATCGGACGTGGACCCAGGGGATGGGGCGATTCTGGGTGGTGAAAGCGGGGGAGAACCACTGATGCAGCTCCTAAGACCTGGCAGGGCCGTCCAGGGCCTCCCAGGGCCTCCCCAGGCCTGGCACCTTTTGACCAATTTAGAAGGCAATCCTGGGTTCTGCTGTAAATTGGAAGTTTTCGTCTAGTTTGTGCTGTTTCTTGTGCTCCAAATCGCAAAACAGTTGTGCGTTTCTTGTGCTGGATTTTGGAGTTTGTGGTCGGGCTTGTGCTCTGGGTTGCAAAACAGTTGTGTGTTTCTTGTGCTTTTTCTTGTGCTCTAGTTGGTGCTTTTTCTTGTGCTGGATTTTGGAGTTTGTGGTCGGGTTTGTGCTCACTTTAGCAAAACAGTTGTGCGTTTCTTGTGCTTTTTCTTGTGCTCTAGTTGGTGCTTTTTCTTGTGCTGGATTTTGGAGTTTGTGGTCGGGTTTGTGCTCCAGTTTAGCAAAACAGTTGTGCGTTTCTTGTGCTTTTTCTTGTGCTCTAGGTTGTGCTTTTTTAAATTAAAACTCAATAGGCTGCTTCCCGGGCCGCACTCGAGAGTCGCTAGAATAGTCTAGTTTGTGCTTTTTCTTGTGCTGGATTTTGGAGTTTGTGGTCGGGTTTGTGCTCACTTTAGCAAAACAGTTGTGCGTTTCTTGTGCTTTTTCTTGTGCTCTAGTTTGTGCTTTTTCTTGTGCTGGATTTTGGAGTTTGTGGTCGGGTTTGTGCTCACTTTAGCAAAACAGTTGTGGGTTTCTTGTGTTTTTTCTTGTGCTCTAGTTTGTGCTTTTTCTTGTGCTGGATTTTGGAGTTTGTGGTCGGGTTTGTGCTCCAGTTTAGCAAAACAGTTGTGCGTTTCTTGTGCTCACTTTTGCGTTCTAGTTTGGAGATTTTTGGGCAAACTGCTGGCCTGATCCAAATTTCAAGCAAAGTAGTTGTGCTTTTTCTGTGCTCCCTTTTGCAATCTAGTTTGCAGATTTGGCCTGGCCAGATGGCACCCTGGCCCTGCTGGCCTGGGGCCGGGCGCATTCCGAAACTCTCGTCGATTTTCTGCAGAAATCCTAAACCCTCCGAAAGCACCAAGCATCAATTCTTCAAGCCTCCACTATTTGCCTTTGGGCTAATTACCGAATTGGAACTCTCGGTTCCCGAAATCAAAAACCTGCTGAACAGTTGGGGCCCCCAAGTTTTGGATACTGGATACTCCAAATGCCCAAACCTGGTTAACAGTTGGGGCCCCCAAAACTCCAAATGCCAACCTCTGGAATCTAAAGCGAGGGCTCCCGAACTCCCAAACCTGCTGAACAGTTGGGGCCCCCCAAAACCGGGAACTCCAGAGGCCTCCAAACAGTTGTGCTTTTGCTGGGGGTGTAGATATAAGGAAAGTAGTTTCCCACTGTTACTGGGCGGGGGCAGATCCCAAGGTTTAATTAGGGTTTCTGTGGAGCCTATACGGCTTGTAGGCCTTGGGGCGTAGGGTTTACACATACCATCCATGGGCCTTGAGCGTGAAGCCAGAAGCAACTCCCAGCACTCTCGGTACAACACTGAGACTCAGAACTGCCAGTTGGCGGACTTTCGGGTCCTCTTTTCTATGGAGGTCTACGGAGTCTACCCTAGGAGTTAGAAGCTGCCCCCACCCTGCAATAGTGACGATAAGGATTATATTAGGGCCCTACTATATTCCTATTATACCACTATTACAGGGTGGGGGCCCCTTCTAAGCTAGGAGCTTCAAGGTATCAACCCAGGGCTTCCACCCTCAAGCCGGAGGTTTTGGGAAAGCAGCAAGCTCGGCGTGTGCGGGTTCGGGTTAGGAGGTTTTCCATAGATGGCTCGGATACAAGCCTTTAAAGGGGCCTAGAAGGCAACCTCTAGAGCAAGACCCAACTCCCCAAATCCCGGAGCCCTGAAAACCATGCAAGCCCTTAAGAAAACACCCCAACTCATGAAACCTTAACTAACCCTGTTCGGCTCTAAACCCTACGACCCTAACCAGCCCTGTATAACGTCGAATTTATCTGCTTCTATTCGCTAAGCCCTCAACCCCTTATCAAATCCTAAACCCTAGAGCCTGAAACCCGAAGCCCTTAACGCCTGAACCCTGAAACCCGGAAACTGTAGGCAGCTCCCCCTGCCTGTCCAAAGGGAAATCTTTTCTGAGAAGGTCTGCTGCAGCTCCACGCAAGACCTTGCAGGAAGATTCAGCTTAAGCTTCAGGGGTTAGGGCCTGGGGTTCCGGTCTAGTGCAATCTTCGGGCCACGAACCCTAAACCCGCCTAAACCCTAAGGGTTTATGAGATGTGCCGCTCAGTTCTTGAGCATAAAGGTTCAGCCATGCGGGAGCCCTTAACTCGCACAAAAAGCACGGGTAGAAAATTGCAGCCCGTTAGCCCGACCTACAAGTAGTAAGACCAGAGAAACTATCGTGACGTTGTGACCCCAATAGTTATTTCATTAGTAGTGGTTGTGGTAGTGCTGGTTGTGGTGGTAGTCGTAGTGGTTGAGCAGTAGCAGTAGCATGAGCCGGAGCGGAGGCAGTGGTAGGAGAAGTAGTGGTAGTGGTCGTGGTAGTGTGGTAGGGATGGAAAATGATACCGATGACAAGAACTGCCTTTGAAACTACAATCTATGAAACTGTAAAGAACAGCACGCATGCAATCTGACAACTAGTCCGCTGGTCTTCAATAAGAACCGACCTTTCCCCCCGATTCCTTGAATCAGCATCTGGCAATCACCCTAAACCCTAAGGCCTAAACCCAAACCTCTAAGCCCTAAACCCATTCGGGTACTTGTCAAAATTATGGCCCCTTCGGGGTAATTACCCTAATATTTGGTGCCGCCAAAAAGGGACCTCATAATTTTGACTACCACCCATCTCGAAGAAAGGACCAGGTTCCCCGGCGCACGGCAGCGAGTCCCCGCGGCTGCGCAAGCAGCGCGTGGCGAACTCTCTGGGAGCCACCTGTACAGGTTGGATGTTCAGAAGCTTTCAGGGTTCAGGGTTGGAAGGGTTGATGACTGGTAGGGTTGAGGGCTCAAGTTTGTGAGGGTTAAGGGTTCGGGGCTTTAAGGGTTCAAGTTTCTTTTCGGGACGGGGTTTAAGTGTGAAGAGGTTTTAAAGAAGAGTTTAGGCATGGGTATTCATGGGACAAGGTTTAGGGTCTGTGGGGTTTAGGGTTTAGGGTGTTAGGGCTTTCAGTGCTGAGGTTTGGTGCTTGTCATCGTTGTCATCAACGTCGTCATTCTTGTCCTCGGCTTCGCTGGTGTTGCCTCCGCTTGGGTGACCGCCATCGTTCGCATCACCTGTTGGAGACACAGCCAAAGCCACACTGCCCTCAACAATGCCGAAATCCTGAAGTTCCGTTTTCATGTGCTCATTCAAGACCTTGTCGTTAAAGGTGAAGCGTAGGGACTTCAGCATCTTCTCGGTTCTGAAGACTGTAGGGTGAAGGCGACGAAGCACCTCTGCAAATGCTTAAAGCAGTCATCCTTGAAGATTTGAACAACGTCGACAGCGGACTGTGACATTCATTGCTGTCGTCTTTTTCCTGCTCTTAGTCTACTCAAGTCGAAGGTTTTGAGGTTAAGGCGTAGCACTTACAAGGGATGAGGGCTTGGACCACAAGTACCATATACGAGCTTCAGACCAGAATACAAGGTGATCCTCGCAGCAAGCCCTGCACAGGCTACCCTCCACCCACAACCTTCTGAGACGTCCCACTCTCTGGGCCTTCTTCGAGAGGTAATAAATGGGTAGTTGTCAAAATCATGGCCCCTTTCGGGGTACCTTAAATATCTTAGGGGTTTAGGGGTTTAGGGTTTAGGGGTTTAGGGGTTTAGGGTTTAAGGGTTTAGGGGTTTAGGGTGTAGGGGCTTAGGGTTTAATTCAGGAATGTGGAGTAAAAGGTCATTGCCAGAAAGGCTCCTCAGCTGATCCCGTAATCCCTCGAACTCACAATCCCTTGAGGGCATTCTTTTTTCTGCGATTCCGAATCAGCAAGGAACCTCCGAGGCAAATAAGTGAAAAAGGTGAATAAACTATAGTGGGGCTTGGGGTTTAGAGATCACCTTCTTTACTCAAAGACAGTTGTAACAACCTGATTCCTTGTTTCTTCCTTGCATCAGGGTCTGTCTGCATCATGGGTTATTGTTTATCATACATAATAAAATTGAGTGTCCCTGATTTCAAAAGCTCCCCATTCTTAAAAGGCTCCCCAACCGAAAGACTCAAGTCACTCATCTAACCGCCCCAAACCCTGAACCTGGACCTAAGCCCCCATATGTCCTCCAATCGCAGACAGCTCGAGAATCCCGAACAGGAGTCATCCCAAACAGGGTACACAAAAGCAGCATCCCCACTCCTGAGATCGATGATTCGAAACCGAAGTCGCTGAACGCTAGACCACATTCCCTACGCTTCTGTCCCTACCTAAACCCTAAACCCTAAACCCTAAAACCCGAAACCCCAAACCTTAAAACCCGAAACCCCAAACCCCCAAACCTTAACCCTAACCCCCAAACCCCCCCACCCCTTATCGAAGCCTCGGGGCATCCCCAGGGATGAGATTTCCGCGGGCTCAGGAGCGAAGGACGGTCGAAGGCCTACCCCAGCACTTCAGGGCCCAGCTGCTGGAGTTTGGATCTAGGGCCGAATGGGGTTATCATAGGGGTATATAGGGTTGTATGGGGGTATATGGGGTTCGGTAGAATTCTATAGGGTTACATAGGGCTTAAGGGCCCAGCTGCTGGAGTTTGGATCTAGGAGTTTCCGAGAATTAACATTGTTTTGGGGTCCTTATTGTAAGGATCCTACTATGTTGCCGTACGATAGTAGGCTCCCCTATTTTCGGAAACTCCCATGTAGGGCTTAAGGGTTTGAATTCGGGTGGTCGGGTTGGAGAGGGCCTGCTTCTTTCCTGGGCTTCTGTGCTTCAGGGGGTATAGTGTGAAAAGTGTAATAAGCAATGTGGTTGGTTTTGCTTAAACTCGGGTTCGCAAAGATCACGCGTCAAGGTAGACTCAATTCAGCAGCTTCAGACGGTACTAGCGGCTAGGGGTTGCTAGCGCTTACAGGGCGCAGTAGTGTTTAAACTTTAAACTCTGTAGGGCGGTTGAGCCTGGCGGGGGAGGGTTGTGGAATCTATGCTTCAGGTTTCACCAAGTAAGGCATCCTGGACCCAGATCTAATCTTCAAACAAAAACTGTCCAAGCCGGCTACTTAGAGTGTTGTAGTTCAACATTCGTGCCCAAACCTGAACCAAAGAAAACGTCGCCCGTGCCGCCTCTTGCTGAAGCAGCAGGAATATATTGAGATGTCTGCTCTCTTCGCCTACTCTGCGGGAAGGGGGGAACCTTTGTGCCAGAGGACGCGTCCCCGTCTCCCCCCCAAGACTTGTAGTCTTCGCCTTGACTTTGGAGCTATCCCGATCGCTCCAAGTTCTCTATATGAGTGCTTTTGGAATTGTTTATGGGGTGGGGTGTATATGGCCATTTCTACTATTCATACACTCCGCCAAACTGTAACCCCCCATGACTACTATCTTCAGTGCGAGTGTGTTAGGTACTTGAACTTTGAGGATACGGGACAGGGATCCCATGTTTTCAGCTGGGAGGCTAATGAGGGACTTAATGATTAAACTAGGATTCTGGTGTCTATCATAGTATGATCACAATACTGTAAGGAACCCCACAGGCGAGTGTTGGTACGTATTTAGGCCTTATACCAAGTCTCTATACTAAGCTTTGGGCTTCAGGGCCGTAAGGTTCGGGTGTGAAGGATGGGGTATACGTAGTCCTAGGCCAAGGGTTTAGGGTTTCAGGTGTAGCCCCAAGGGTCCAAAGGACTCAACAGTTAGGTCCTTAGGTTTCGGATAGTAGTTATGTAGGTTACCATTTGGGAGAGTATATGATTATTAGGTACTCGGACCCTTAGGGTAGTGTATGTCTTGTACAGGGGTTAAGGGTCGAGGGTTTGAGGTTTGGTGTATAGCCTACACCCTAAGGCGCTCAACCCTACCAGGACCGCCTTTCCTATCAGCAATAAACGGAGTTCCTATGGTCGTCAATCCCTGCGGTTAGTAGGGAATGGAAGAAGGGGGCACAAGTATAATTACTATTACTACGATTCTTCCATTCCCGACTAACCAAAGGTAAGTTCTGAAGGATAGATCTACACAGTCGCAGCCTTAGAGAATCAGGGAAGCCTTCTTCTTGCATTGGCGAGGCGAAAGTGTCTTGGCAACCTTTGCCGCATGCAGCACCTGCACTTCGCGAACCATTTGTATGTCCTATATAGCAAGACACTGATCTCTTGAATTTCTGGGAAGACCGAAATAGCCAGAGCCTGTGCGCCGGAAAGTACGAAAGCAAGAACTCCGCTAGCTTAGGTCACCCGACCTCAGAACCTGTCCTTCGATCAACAGATGCAGGCTTCAGGATTTCAGTCAAATAGTTCAAGGCTCTCATGAATGCGATGCAGCCTTGTGGGTTGTGGGGGGCGCTTTTGAAGACCTGGAGCTTACAGTTTGGGGTTTCGGAATCCTTTCAGGACCGTAGGAATTATCTGCTGTAGGCTTTAGATGGCTTTAGGATATAGCTCTTCGGGTTGGCTGGAGCATCTATCACAAGGGCTTCAGTTTAACTGCCTCCCGTTGGGTCTCTGCTGGTTGCGAGGGATTGAAGTTCTACCATGAGTTCAGGTACGCAGGGCCGCTCAGCCCTACACCCTAAGGCCCAAGAGCGATAAACTCTCAACCCATTGGCAAAAAACAAACCCTAAGCCAACAACATAAGCAACTGGCAAGAGAGATAAACTTAAAGCGACATCTGATGTTGAGGGCAGCAAACGTTTGGGGTATGAGAAGGTGGATGTCGAGGTGCGAACTTTGACGAGAAAAGGAACCTTCTTACAAACTCCTTGGATGCAAACCTCAAGCGAATATAGGGGCCTTCACAAAAAAACTTTAGGGCTTGGGGGTATGCTATACTTTAATTATGATAAGGAATCACCAAAACTTTATATTCAATTTAGGCTCCTACATTACAGGAACACCTAAATTGCGCTTATCCAACGAATGAAACCGATCCCTCCTATGTAGGTCAGTTCAGAACCTCCAAGAACGACTGGGAACGAAAATGCTAGAAACCGAAGCCCTACATGTCGTCCGGAAGGGAGGCCTCACTGTGCTGACTCCTGCTCATGGCTGCGCGTGCAGAAGCGTTTGAAGCGGACCAAACCTTCATCTGGGGTTTAGGGTTTAGGGTTACAGCAAAGGGGGGCCAGGGAAGGGACTGTGGCTTTTGATACAAAACAACAGGATTCCCGCAGAAGGGAGCAAGCATGAGCAGGTATGGAGCTTACCCCCCCCCCCCCCCCGCCCCCCAGAACTCTGAACTAATTATCATCAAAGCCCCTTAATTAAGGAATATGGCTCAAATTATATAGGGCTTCATATTAAGATTTATGCTATATTCCTTAATTAAGGGGTATTGGGCTCTCTGGGGGAACACCTGTAATCTACCACTCACTGCATCCACAGGGAATCACCTCTGAAGCAAAAAATCACAAACGTGAGTTGTCGGAATCTTGCGCTATCCAGGACAAGGAGAGCCAGCTTGTGGCCTACACCACAGCTCAACATGGGTCTTCCTCTAAACAAGAGTTCAAGTTTAAGGTCTTGCCACAATAAGAGTGACATACGCTTTTCGGAGACCCGCAAGGATCTCTAATAGTCGACCTCCAAGCACGAAACCCAAAGCCGTGAGGCCCTGGACCTAATGTGGAGGCTCTAACTCTAACCCTTAACGATTAGAATGCGGTTTTGGGGGTTGAATACTTGAGTACACACTTAGTTATCTTGGGACTACAGAGCAAAATATTGGTACTCTTTCATTCAGGGCTACACATGTATAAATCTAAGCCCTAAATCCCTAACCCCCAACTCTGAAGCCCTAAACCATGAAACCCTAAATCCTAAGCCAAGCAACTGCGTAGTTCGCAGCTCGAGTGCCCAAGCCTCAATTGACACGGAGCGAGCATGCGAAGGAGGGTGTTGATTACTGTTTTGGGATTTCGGGTTTCGGAGCTTCAGATTTAGGGTATATGTATACTTAATTAGGCGTCTTCATGGGTAGCAGCATGCCCACAAATATGTTTTAACAGGCTTTTTCATGAGCATCCTCCCCAGAATCAAAGCCCAAACTGAACACTCGATTTCAAGGCACCATGGATGTACTCACCAAAATATACCCTAATCTGAGCCCTACTACATGTGCTTTGTGGTCTACCTAGGAAGCCCCGAACCCTTCAACCTTCGGAATTTGGTAAAGCCCCATGCGTATGGTTTCCCCCGGTAGGGCCTGTGGCTAGATTGTAGGGTCTGGGGATCTGGCAGTAAGTACCACTCGCTGCCACAGCAACAAGCTATATCAAAACCGATTGGGGGTTAAGAGGGTGAAGCGATATCAACAAACAGGATCCTAGTTGTGACAGCTATCATGAATTGCACCTTCTACCTTTACCCGAGACATCTCGAGATTTCTGCATAGCATGGGCAGGCGACGTATCGCCGACACGGCGAAAAGATCCCCGGCCAAGCCTTACAAGAAGGGAACGGGCATGAGCAGACTCACGGAATTAATGCGGCTTGGGGTTCAGGATATGGGGTTGGTTCAGGACATGATCTTGTTGAGTGGACAGGGCAGGTGGTGGGGCTGTTCCACCCTACACGGCTCTATCGGGTTTCTAACCAGCCGTAGCATCATTCTATGCTTTTGAGAGGTTGGTTGTAGCAAGGGATCTAGGAGTATGGAGCGAACAGTCTCTAAGTAGTCATGAAACGCATGAACAGCCAGGTGCAAAACCCTCATGGCTTAGTACCCATTGGGATCAACCTCTTTAAGGGCCTGCGCGGCGTTCAGCCCAAGACACCGATTCAATTCATTCATCACACGATCGCAGGTAGCAGGCCTTAACACACAACAAGAGCAGACAACAACCTTTAAGCTTTAACACCCAAGTCCCAGGCTCTCCATCCTGAACCCTGAACCTTACGCCCTAAACCCTAAATCCTAAAACCCTAAACCCCCGAACCCTAAACCCTAAAACCCTAAAACCCTAAACCCATAAACCCCTGCACCCTAAACCCTAAAACCCTAAACCCCAAAAACCCTAAACTCAACCCTAAAACCCCTAACCCCGACATTTGGACTCCTACTGTTGATGATACAAACCCTGCACTACCTTCAGGACCCTAGTCTATGGGATTTATGGTATATTCCTTATTTTGGGTAGTGCAGGATTTATATCCCTAAGCCCCAAACCCCCTGTAGATCCCTTAAAGGAACCCCCTTAAAGGTACCCTTAATAGAGCCCTTTAAAGGAACCCCCAGGATTTCTATCATCACCCGTACAGCGCAGTCAGGGCCTGCTTGTCCGCTGGCTGCATCGGGCGAGGTCAGCCAGGCGGAGCCCATGCCAGACCTCCGTCAACTATGATCAGTTCGAAAGGGGAATTACACTAAGCAATAAGAATTAATCATCATAATAATGGTAATAATAATCATCATCATGATCATAACTGATACTATTTTGGGGGTTCCTTAGTATAACTATAGCATAATGGGACCCAAAACCTTTCTCTAACTATCAAGGCCCCTATATTATACTGACCTATCTTACCCCGAGATCGGGCTCCTTTCTTAGAAGAGCATTGCATACTACACCCACAGAGCCCTACTGTAATTACAGCTGGCCTAACATATCCAAACCTGAAATGTCAGTCACAGTCTTAATGGGGGGTGCTTCCGAAAATAGCGGACCCTCATATAGCACCCTGAAAAGAAGGATCCCAACTGTAAGGGCCCCAGAATACGGTACCCCTTAAGTTTCGGAAACTCCCTTCTTAAGTTTCTAGAGTTGTTGTGAACCTTGGGGCGAGTACAGCCTACGATGCCTAACCAGGAACCCATAAAGTCGTCCTCTAGGCACCCATCCTGGGCCCCTTTTAAAAGGAACCCGAAACCCTTGTGAAAAGCCTCATGCACAACCCTTAAACACCAAAAAAGCCGAACAAACGTAGGTCTAAAGGCCTCCCTGCCTAAACCGCTAATCCTAAAAGAAGCCTCGTGTTTCTGATGATACCTGCCCTTGGTACTTCCTTCAAGACGTTGGTGTGCGATGTCTTTGAGGTGTGGAGGGGCGGGCCTAAACCCTAAAAATCCTAACCCCCAAGCCCGCAAGCCCCTAAACCATGTAAACCCTAGAGCGTAAACCATGTCAACCCTAAACCCTGAACCCTAAACTCCTAAACCCCTAAACCCCTAAACCCTAAACCCCCGAACCCCTAAACCCCTAAACTCCTAAACCCCTAAACCCCTAAACCCTAAATCCTACACTTTGCATTTGCCGAGGCACAAGTCCTCAGCGACCGCCGGGCAGTCGAAGGCAAACAGCCTGAAGGGGAGGGGAGGTTTTGGGTTGGGGGCTTAGGGCCCTAGGGTTTAGGGCCAGGGCTTAGGGGCTGGGGTTTAGGATCTATAGGGTTTAGGGGTTTGGGGTTTAGGGTCCAGGGTTTAGGGTTCAGGGGTCTAGGGTTTAGAGAGGTTTTGGGCTTGGGGTGCGTAAAGCCTAAACTCTCCTAAGCCCAGACACCCTAACCACCCTAAACTTTTAGGGGATCTAGGGTTGACGATTGAAGGGCTTAAGGCCCTTTGTGCTTCAGGCTATGGGGGTTTCAGAGTCTCGCGGGGTCCCTTTTCTAGGGCCTCTTTGACTAAGAAATCTTGCCCGAATCAGACCGTGTGGCATGTGCAGCGGCACTGTGCAAGCTCTGTGTGGCCTGCTACGTTCCGGGCACATCCCTCTTGCCGTTGCGTGCATCATTTTCGACACGAAGGTAGAAGCTGCCCTCAGGTTTGGCCGCTGGCTCTGGGGCACCCAAAGCGAAGCAGTCGCTGTGCTCTCTGATGCATACGCGTCTTGGGCACGGCTACTGCTGGGCACAAGCCGCTGGAGGTCCGCAGAAGTCTGCAGGGCAGAATTGGGCTGGAAGCTGTGCACACATGGTAAAGTTGTCATCGAGGTCGCTTCCGTTAGGCACTCGTTGTGGTTGCAGAATCAAGACACTCTTGCAGGGGCGTGTTTCTCAGCTGCTCATTTGCTTGAGTCCATTAATTGGGCAAAGACCTCCCTCATACTTTTGGAGGAATGGACAGTCTTAGACTGGCCGGTGTGGTCCACTTGCAGACGCAGCCATGGCACGTACTCGGCGTATGTGAAAGATGTGGTTTTCCAGGTATCTCTGGCCAGGTGGAAGATGCAGGTGGCGAAACACGTGGTGCCTCTCAGGTACCTTTCTGTCGCTCAAGAGCCATCTTCTCAGGTACAGGATGCTTTCCGCCTGCAGCTCCCTTGGGGGACCCTGGTGGGGCACCGAGACCTGCTGCTCTTGCGTTGCGGCTTCATCATGCTAGGACACCTTGATTTCAAGCCATCCAGAGCGTCCGTTCGCCACTGCATCTTCTGCAACAAGAGGTACACCAGCATCTATGCACATGTGATCGGCAGATGTGAGCAAGTTCCGGCACGAAGGCCTTGCAGCAACCTTGAAGATCTTGCTGTACTGCCCAGTGACCCGCGGTTCGCGGACATCGTGGCTTTCGCAAGGGCCGTATGCGAAGGTGCGCGCCAATTCTGGCGACGGCACGGGCATCCTGCAGAGGCATGAAAACCTGAGTGCTTGAGACAGGAGGCCCTCAGAGGCATTAAGCGCTGCTGCGGTAGTTGCTTCGGCTTTCTGGGGGTCGGGGCACCTGTCGGTGCAAGCACCCAAGGCTCTTTCCCCCCCCCTCATCTCTTTGCCCTGAGATGTCACACTTGTGTCTTTCAACCAACCAACCAACCCTCGTCGGATGCTCCTAGCTTGTTTTGTGCAGTTTTCCTAAACCCTACATACCCTAAACCGTGCAGGAGCTTCGGAGTGAAGTGCGAGGTGTTCACAGAGGACTTTGTGGGATGCTGGGTTTGCTTTTTGGGTCTATCTTCCGTCCCCAAAAGGACATATGCAAGGAAAGGACCAAAAATAACCTAAACAAGGTAGGAAGTTCGGCGTGAAGGTCGGTATGCGGGTTGGCGCAGAAGTGGCGATTTATGTGCATGGGTCTTTCGGGTTGCATAGGGGCTTGTAGTATAATTAGGGGTTTCAGTCGGCTTTGGCATTGCAGCTGAGAATTTGCCTGGGCTGAGTAAGGCTGGGTTTCTGGGGGTAGGGCCTGGCCGAGAAGTGTATGGTCCTCGGGTTTGGGGCTGCGCGCAGAGTATATATGGGGTCTGTGCAGTGCAAATTATTGGACTATTTTGGCAAATGACAAGCATCTGCCCAAATCCACACCAAATCCGGAACCCTAGATTCGCGTTTGGCCCTGCAAACCGTTTTTGAACCATGTCAACAACAAATGCAAGCACGCCCTCTTCCCGTCAATCGCTCAAGTCAGCGGAAAGGATCATAGCCACTGAACCGAAACTGGGTCAACCTCCTGGGAGGTAACTGTTGATGATATAAATCCTGCATGACCTTAAGGACCCTAAACTATGGGATTTATGGTATAATCCTTATTATGGGTAATGCAGGATTTCTATCATCAACCGTAATCAGGGGTCTGCAGTATTGCGCCCCCAACCACACATCCCGACATCATCAAGCTGGCACGTTTCTGTCCTTGATCGCTCCAACAAGGCAGATTACGACTACTCTGCTGGAATTCATAGGCTTTCGGGTTCAGGGTTTAGGGGTTTAGGGTCTAGGGCTCTTGGTGCAGAGAGGGTACCAAGAAACAACAAGAGAAGGATCGGAGCTTGGAGCCTACAGTTTGCAGAGCCTGGGATGGGTTCAGGCTTTCGGATTTAGGTAAGGGTCTCGGGCTTACAGTGCCGTAGGGGTTCGGGATGGGGCATTGTTTTTGTCTTCGTTGTTTTGCTCGCACAACCGTCTTGCTCGTCTTAGGTTTCGAATGTACGGTTTACAGAACAGCCTGCAAACCTCCAGACCCTAACCTCCAAACTCTAAACCCGACGCTTGCACCCCCACCTGCTGCATCCTAAGCCCATTATTGTTAGTATTTTTTTATCATCATTATTATTGTTATGAGTATTATTACTGTTACATATATATAAATATATATATATATATATATATATATATATATATATATATATATAACCTCTGTCGATCGGTCGGTCGGTCCGTCTGTCTGGATGTATGCATGTAAGTTAGGTAAATGAATAATTACGCTTACTCATGTTATGATGAGTATCGGCTTGTGCTTGCTTACCTATCTATCCAGCTATCCGTCCATCTGTCTATCATACTGTCTGTCTATATACATCTATCTATCTCTCTATCTATCTGTCTGTCTAACTCCAGTTCTCCCTCTCTCTCCCTCTCACTTTGTGCTTCTCGTTCTTGCTGCCTCCCTCCCTCTCTCTCTGCTATACTGAACTTGGAGCCCTGGCGAACATTTTAATTTTAGCTGTTTCTTAGGGATCATAATAATGCATTAACCAAAAATTAAAAACTATTTCTAAGTACCCCTAAGTCTCTGTGTCTCGCCCGAGAGCCTCAACAGCCGGCTCGCCCTTTCCCGGGCTTTGCGCTCCTTGCCACTTGCGTTCGTCCCTACGCTTCTTTCGGGCATCTGCTAAACGATGCTTTTGGGCTTCTGAGTTTACGGTTTAAGCTTTTTTTTTGGGGGGGGGGTCCCTGGACACTCAGTTTTACGAATTACGGCGAGTGGGGCCCGTAACCTGGACAAGCACCTCAAGTACCAAAGGAGCTCAACTTGGTTGGGTTTAGGGTTTCAGATTCGTTGTTTAGGTTCCGGGGAGACTGGCAACCACAAACCGACGTCTTACAGTCCAAGGCACCATACATTTCAAAACGCTAGTCTATTTCTCGAAACCCTTATCTGAAACGATCGATGTCCTTGGAGCCCGAAACCTTGTAGCGAATCTCACCAACTGCAAACACATGATCCCTGGGTCAGCGCCTAGGAGGCGCAGGACAGGTTCTGCGATAAACCACATTATTGTTGGGGCTTGGGGAGCCTGATTGAAGGAGCGCAAGCCAAAAGACAGTGGAACAGCATTGGTACTACGAATTCTCACCAGCAGTCTGCCATGAAGGATTTCGTTTTTGTATCCCTATGCTCGGCTTGTTGGCATTATGATGCTGTGCAAGCAACCCTGCTACTGCATGTTTTGCTGTTGTCCTGCTTGTTCCGTCCCTGCCATTGTGCTGTGGCTCTACGGAGATTCCACCTTTTCATCTTGAAATCATGTAGGGGCCTTGTTTATCAGAATAGGGCTTTGGGGGCATATGTTACCATGATCATAACAAGGCCCCCCCCCCCCATAGTATTGGTAATTGCTTAGGCCCTTCTATCATAGACCTAAACCCTAAACCCTAAACCCTAAACCCTAAACCGCATCCCTGGACTCCAGGAACTTCTGGCGAAACACCTTGGCTTTGGCACTCGCCTGCAACAGCCGCACAGCCAATTCCAACCTCATTTGGCCAGGAATCTGACATGCCTTAAACTTCCATAACCTATTCTGTAGGTTCTTATTAGGATTGTAACACCAATTATGGGATTTATAGCTTGCAAAAAACTTGGTTTTAGTAGGTCAAGCTATAGCGCCAGAAGTCCATGCGCTGAAGATCCGAATATTTTTCGGTATATGGCTTTAGGGTTTTGAGGCTTCCCGGTTCGTGGCCTCGTCATGAAACACGAAACAGGCAGGCAAGCTCCAATACCCGCAAAGCCCACTGCACTGAACCTACCTAGCGCTCTTTTGGTGACATCAAAGACCCTGTACACGTCACACAAGTGGTCTCACGGTTGGCATCATAGTTCCCCGACGGTACAGTAGCGGTAACAAAGAACACGAAGGCGTATTACCAAGAGCTCCCTTGACAGTAGAATGACCCCTGACTGACCCAAGACCGTACCAGACAACCCGAAAGCCCCATAAAACACCTCTGAATATCTTCTACTGGATAAAAAAAAGCCCTCAAACCTTTACACAACCCTTGTGGATAGCTTAGCCACGGGAATGACGTTTTCAGGAACACTTAGACCTAGCCCCAAACCCTAAACCCACCACCCACTCCTAAGCAAATCCCGGCCTCAGCAGGCACCCACTAGGACGGAAGAGGATATCACGCCTCAGTCTTGGATTAGGGCTGAAGTGTTCGGATTGCAGGCTTAGGGCTCGAGGGGCTACCATAACAGCTGCTATCGGGGACTTACGGCACGGCTTGAGTTTCGCGCTTGGGTGCCTTTTGAGAGCTGTCCGGGGAGCAATAAGAATTGCTTGAGGTTCCTCGAACAATAACAAGGCAGATCAAGTACTGATGGTGCAAATCTTTGAGGCTCCTGCGTGTTGCTTTGGTAACCATGATGGCAGCTATTACCGTCTGTGTCACCAGCCCTTATCGTTCTCTCTTTCTCTTTCTTTCTCTCTCTCTCTCTCTCTCTCTGTGTATATATGTATATAGATATATTACACTGTGAAGCTTCTACAGCGTATGTGCTAGAGAAATTACTTATGCAGAGCCAGCTGAGACTGTGCAGTTGAAGAGCCCTGGATCGCCAGGAATCTTTGAAGCAACCTGCCAAAGGAGGCCTGCACCCCTAAACCCTAAACCCTGCACCCCAAAACATCAGGAAGAACCCAGCAAGTTGTTGTCAACCCTACGAAAACCCTGTATGAAAACCCTACTGCAGACTGAACATCCTCCCACTCCCCCTCCGTTGCGGCCCTAGTGCTCCAGCCGAAAAAGCTGCTGGCAAAGCCTCTGGAGACTGCTCAGGGATCTCTGAGGAAAAATATAATAAAACATCCCAATAGTAGGGCACCCCTACGACAGGGGCGGTATTCATTATATAGAACAGAGCTTTGCGTGATAACAAATACGAACGGGACTATAAGGAAATACTGTTACTAACCGTACATTCGTCCCCAACCCAAAGTCCAACACCGTTCCTATCAAAGCCCAGAACCCCAAGCTCTTTCTCATGGGCCTGAGATCTTGAGTGCTGGATACGCATTCCCAAACCAGAACACACACGCAATTGTTTGTTTCTGCTACGGGATTGTGCGCTGGTGTCCTAAGCTTTGCCCGGTGTTCATGAAGCGCCACCGTCACTGCACGATGTTCCTCCTTGGAAGCCGAAGAAACAACATAAACCCTGAACCCCTCAACCCCTGACCCCTGACCCCTAGCCCCTAAACCTAAATTACTAAACCCCCAACCCTAAACCCTAAACCCCAAACCCGAAACCCCTAAACCTAAACCCTAAATCCTTAAACTTAAACCCCGACCGCTAAACCCTAAAGTCCTGAAGCCTGACCGAGAAGCTCAAAGGGCAGGTGATTGGACATGCTCGCCAAGTAGAGAATCGCCTTGGGCTGGTTGCTAAGGCCGGTAGACTTCTGGAACTTGCTTACCCGAAGGTTTACAGTAGGGTTTAGGGTTTAGGGGTTTAGGGTTTAGGGTTTTGGCTGCGATAAAGGTTCAAGGGCTGCTTGATACAAAAGGCTTGGCTTCGGAAGTTTCAAATGCTTTGTGGTTTTTTCTGGGAGGGCCGTAGGGCCCCTTTTCATTGAGCAGTCCTGAGTTCCTGTGCAAGCAATGCCTTCAACACACTTCGACTTCGGTATAACTCGTCCGAGTCAAAGCAGCCTACAGAGATGACAGCCATCCCAATCTCAGAATGTGAACAGCAGTCTATGTTGCCAATGCTGTCATATTTACGATCCATGCGGCTACTACTACTGTAGGGGCCCTAATAATTGCAATAAGTTTTTTGGGGTTATTATTCTGTAATTGGAAATTTGAAAATAAAATAAAGCGCTGGAACCGGCCTCCACTGCGCCACGGCCCTGTCCCTGCGACGCCTTGTCGAGCGCTTCCTGTCAGTCCGTGGTCGTGGTTTGTAGGGTGGGGGGCTTAATAATTAGAATAGGATTTTGGCTGGGGACCATGATACTATACTTATAAGGCCCCTATGTAGGGTTGGGGGTTATGCAGGGTTGAGGGCTGCGGTTTTGGAGTAGCTTCGAGCTTTAGCTGCAGGCCTAAACCCAAAAATTGAATCGCCTACCCCTTCTCTAAGACTTTTGAAGCACTTATACTCTGCGGCCCTCAATGTGTAGACCTCGAACCCTAAAAACCTGCAACGAGAAACATTATATATATATACACACATACATACAAACACACATACACACATATACACCTGCATATTGAATACATATATATATATATATATATATACACATCTAGTCTTGCATTTACTTACAGTGTACGCTTTGCGACTATGTATGCGCGTGTGTGTGTGTGTGTGTTGCTTTATTTCTCTATTTGTTTGTCTGCTTGTACAACTATATATATATATATATACATATAGATGGGTGTGTGTATGTATGTGTGTGTACTGTGACATTTGCATATGTATTATATACATGAATACGTACATATATGCATAAATATATACAGACGTGCATATGTGTATATGTATATATGTAAATTTGTATATTTGGATGTATATACATATATATATATATATACATCAGTATTATATTCGATGCAGATGTGTGTCTGAACACACATATAAATAAATATCTACATATATATATATATATATATTAAGTGTATATACACACATTTACAAACAGAGTCAGAGAGAGAGAGAGAGAGAGAGAGAGAGAGAGAGAGAGAGAGAGAGAGAGAGAGAGAGAGAGAGAGAGAGAGAGAGAGAGAGAGAGAGAGAGAGAGAGAGAGAGAGAGAGAGAGAGAGAGAGAGAGAGAGAGAGAGAGAGAGAGAGAGAGAGAGAGAGAGAAAGAGAGAGAGAGAGAGAGAGAGAGAGAGATATAGAGAGAGAGAGAGAGAGAGAGACACCGAGAGCAGGGTAGATGCGATGATCTCTAGAGCACGAGGGTCCATTTTGCTGACATACCTCCTCACGCCAAGCCAAACGCTGCACCCCAACCCTACTCTGAACCTTAATCACGTGAGCCCACTGCCACAAACAAAATGATAAGCCAAAATACGCTGCGCCTGTTGTACCCTAAACCTCAAACACTGAGCCTTGCCATGGGACTCGTGAGCCATACACCTTACACCGCACGTCCTGCAAGCTAAAATACGCAAAGCCCAAGGGTCCAGGGGTTTTCAGAGCCTTGGCGGTCGCTCCTTCCAGCCCAACTGATGCTGCCAGAAAACCTCGACTGTGCTCATAGGGGATTCAAAGATTTGGAGTTCAGGGTTTGTTTGGTCAGGGGTGTTGGTATAGAGTTTCGGATTTTAGGGTTAGTGCTCGGACTCAAGATTTGGGGTTCAGGGTTCTGAAGACTTGCGAAACACCTATGACATGAATCATACATTTGAGCCTACACTCTCGCCGGATATTACTGAACTAATCTTCCAGAGCCCGTAGACATCTAGTGCAGGTAAGTCCAGGCTTCGAGTTTGAAAGGATTGCGGCATGTGGCCGCAGTCTTTTCTTGTGTGTGTGTGTGTGTGTGCGCGTGTCTATGTGTATGTGTTTGCGTATGTGTATATGTATGTGTGTATGTATGTGTATATATATATATATATAGTATATATACATGTGTGTGTTGTGTGCGTGTACGGTGGATGGCTGGGGGTTCGTGTTTCGTGTTCAGGTTGTGGTGATTTCAGATTAGTCTGATGCCTCCTGGGCTTGGGATTCACGGCTAAGCATTCCAGTAAACACCGGCCAGAATCTATCCAACACACGAACACCTTTGTGCCAAAAGTGCACTCTTGCACATGCTGCATCCAGTCCGACGCGGGTAGTTAAGCGTTCAATGCCTATGTAAACCCGCGCACACTTCCAAGACGACGGACTTGCGCTGTGGATATCTTGCAGAGGAATTACCACTTGGCGGTTGAAGAACTTTCCTGGGCGATGCAAGAAACAGTTCAAAGACTCAAGACCAAATCTCTACCGTACACAAGCCTGGACACGTCATGAAGCCGTGGGCACACTTTCGGCACGGCAAGCAACTTTGCAAAGACTTGCAAACACAATGAGCCCTCAATCTGTAAACCCGACGGCAAAACACCCAAACCGAAATCTGCGACAATCCGCAAGCCACAGAGCAAAACTTCGACTCCAGGAAGGCAAACCTCACTGAAATCCGAAAAAGCCCCTCGACGCATGTCCTTAAACCCTCGACTCCTGAAGCTGTACATGCTCTTTCCCCTGCCCTAAAAAGCCGAAACCCTATGATAACAAAAACAACTCAGATCCCACAAAACCCCAACCGCCTGAATTGCTACTCCCTTTGCTCTTCATCCCAGGTGGCCGAAGGTCGCCAGCAGCACGGAATCGGCTTCCAAAGTCGGCTTCTTGAGCTCCTCGACAGGGAGTATAGCAAGACTGGAATGGATGCAGCTTGTGTAGAGTCTTGCGGTTCCTACTTTTTTGTACGGTCCCTATGACTTCCATATTAGGGTTGCAAATAAGAACCTACAAAAAATAGGGTTTGGTAGTTTAAGGTAGGGTTCAGGTTTAGGGGTCAACACCGCTGGGGTTTGGTTTGGGATCGAGTCCACGTTCCCAGTAGCGCCTCAATAGCGAGCAGCCTTGCTCTTATCAATCGGTTTAATAGGGGAAGCAAGCAGAAAAAGGGAAAATGATAATTACGACGGGGGAACCTAGCAATTCACCTAGTAGCTAGAATTGCCAGCAGTAGCACGCATGAAAACAAGATCATCGAGGTTTGGCACTTGACATCATCTAGGGGCCTTATTATAATGTTTAGAGTAGGGCTCGGGGGGGCCCATTATCCTACAATGATAATGAGCAGCCCCCAAAATAGTAGGTAGTTATTCATTAAGGCGCCTATATGAATCTAGAGCCCTGGAAAGATCGCCTCTCGAGCCCGGGTCACGAGGACCTTGACGGCGGAATGCCGTCCTGTCGGCCACTTTGGGGTGCGAGGGTTTAGGGGTATAGGGGTCAGGGTTGAGGGTATGGGGTTTGGGGGTTTAGGGTAAAGGTTGAGGGTTCTATCGTGACCTCACGCCTCATTTGGGGATGATTCGATGCATCTGGGAAGTAAGATGGGGCTGGTCAAGCTAAAACGTGCCACCAACATCCGAAGTCTAGTCACTCTAGTCTTGCTAAAAGCGGTAGCCTCGACCCCGAATGCAATATATGTCATGGGCTCTGCCTGAAAACTGCATAGCTGAGCCTCTCAGGTGCCACGCATGGAGTCTTACCCTCACGGCGCTGCAGCTACATGTTACCTTCCTAAAGCCCTACACTTCCCCTTTCCCTGAAACCCCCGGCCGAGAGTACTTGATGCGCTACGGAGTGTACCCTCCTAACCCTTGACCCTGAGACCCTCAGCCCAAAACCCTTCTCCCTGCCTCCTCCTCCTACCACTGATAGTACCACTGTAGCGCCTATAAGCCCTAAAGCGTCCAGTACTTGGAGGTTCATCGGTACGTCGCCGAATAAGGGTTGGAAGTACAATGAAGTATAGTTACCATACTTACAACCCCACCCACAACTACCCAGGAACCTCCAAGGTATGAAGTCCCTATCAAACCCACCGCTCCCATCAACCGGCCTTCCGGACCTCGCGCCTGCGAGAGCGGTGGACTTAGAAACCGAATCGACCGGGAAAGGTGCGATTTAGACTTAGACCTACCCATAGGCCCCAAAGTAGTTCGTTTTTGGGATTACCTCAAAGGATTCTATATATGAACCCCAAAAAGGAATTATTTTGAGGCCTTGGCGCAGACTACAGGAGCCTCCCAAGTATCCCTGATGATCCTGAAGAGCTGGTCCTTAGGCTTCAAAAAAACTAAATGAGGTTATACTAGAGAGCCAAGGCAAAGAGGGTCTAATATAGCGACCTCAATTAATAAGTAGAATAGGGTTTTGGTGGTATATTCTACTATAACTATAATAGGGAACGCGCAAAACAGTGTTAGTAATTAGAACCCTATATTACAAGGACGGCACATCTCAGCACCTTTCGGGAAAAAAGCAAACAACGACCTCAAGGTGCTCGAACCTGTAAGGCTTGAATCCAGACACAAATAATTACCCTGTACATGTGTATTTACATATGTATGTGCATATATATATATATATACATATATATATATGTGTATAATATAAAGACATGTACATGCATACATACATACATACATACGTACATACATAAACACATACATACCCACATGCATACATACATACATACATATATATATATATATGTATATCCAGACCCAATCACCCTCTGCCCTGGACCCTCAACTAGACCCCAATCCCTCTGCCCTGAGCCCCGACATGCCTAAATGCTGAAGAGCATGCGGTGTAAGGCAGGGTCCGGGAGAACTTTCTGCGAGACTACAAGGGGATTACTGAAACCCTGAAACCGTAAAGCCCAAACCGTAAGCCCTACACCCTTGAACCCAATACCACTTTCCCGAACCTTCGGATCCCAAAGATAACCCCTAAACCCTTAAACCCTAAACCCTGCAACCAAACTCCTCGCCTGCCCGTGCAGAGCTACTGCCTGCCGCAACGCCGCCCGCGGAGCGCCCGCGTTGGCGGCCTAGGCTTCAGTATTCATTCAGGGTTTAGGGTTTCTTTTTTTTATGGGCTCTTTTCCACCTGCAGGTACAGCTAGAACTCCTGTACTAGGAGGAGCCTGTGGTTGGGTTTAGGGTTTCAGGGTTTAGGATTTAGAGTTCTAGACGAGGACTTTTTCCGTACAAGGGTTTCCTACCGCTTCTTAGCGGTTGCATGTAGGCTGTATAAGCGCCTCACAAAGCTTTATATTTTAGAGGCTTCTGATTTAAGGGATGTTTCTTCTACACACGGGATGTCAACTGAAATTTGTGCCGAATTGTGTCGGAACACTTTTTTTGACCGTTGGCATTTATGGCTTTGGGGGATGACGACATCTCGAGTTCATTGTTTCAGAGTCCAGGAATTATAGGGCTTCAGGGATTATGCAGTATAGGTTGCGCTTAGGTTCTGGATTGAGGATATCGTCTTTGAGCGTTGTAACAAAGACTGTCACGCTGCTGCACGTACTTCTACTTCTGCTGCTACGACGACGAGTGACTGACTACTACTCCATGTCCATCACCATCGTCTTGAATGTCTTCTTCTGCTTCACCAAACGTACAAACTTGCTCATTACCATTTCTATCCAGTTCCTCCTCCTTCTCCGTATCGTCCTCATCGTCGTCGCATTTCTTCGCACGGGGCCAGCAGACGCCTTACGTCACCGTGTTTGTCATCATTATCATCATCAACATCAGACACCTGCCCTGCTCATAATTACGATCATGCGGCATCATACTGTAAGCTTTGTGATCACCATCACCGTGACCAAACACATGCGACCATCAGCGTCACAAGCAGTATCACAACCTTTACTGTGGGCATCATCACCACCAGCAGGTTCATCAGAATCAGGTATCTTGCACGCACACACACACACACACACACACACAAGAGCCGATACAGGAGATGGCAGCGATAAGAGCCTCAATGCCAGCGTAGGAATCAAGCAATGGAAAACTACAACACCTGGCAGTTCAAAAAACCTACCGAACCACGAAGCATTGCCATAAGAAAAACCTGACAGTTCAGGGCAGGCTTCAGAGTTGAGCAAACGCTCCAAGATAAGCACAGCTCAACTGTCGGGATTGGATTTTATTTTCTTACACCATGTGGTTAACAACAGACTATAAGGGGATAGGGGTTCCCTAGAAAAGGTGCAACGTTATTGCGTTCAAGCCGCCTTGTCGAGAAGCTTCTCAGCATCTGGCAGACTCCTTCGTCAGGCTGCATCGATGTCGGCAAAGAGGCTGGTGAAATGTACATTACATAAAGCATGCATAGCAATGAGCCGGAGTTGTAAAAACACCAGCTAGATTCGACAGATGAAGAAACAGAGTGCTCAATGCAAAGGAACAGCACCGAAACTGCAAATCCTAAAACCCCAAACCCTAACCGAAGTGCACACCCGCGAGGATGTTCAATCACTACTCTAAGTTTGTGACAGTACGGGCTTGGGGTGTGAAAGCTCGGGTGCATGCCAAACCATATCCACGAACGGGTATACGGCTTCCATGACACCGACATAGACTGGAGGTCAAAGATGTTGTGTATTCGGAGTCTGCGGGGAACATGTCGGATACAGTACACCTTGCACAGGTTCAGTGCAATACAATGTTCTGCCGTAGACCCTTGACTCTAAATCTAAATGCTCTGAGCCCTACAAAGCCCAAATCCAAAGTAGGCAATATTCAGAGCACGATCGCCGACGAACACAGAGAGCTTTCCGTGGAACAATACTGAACAACTGTGCCTCCAAAAGATACAATGTCTCACACTATGCGATGAAGTCTGCGCTGTCAGGGCTTCCGGGCCTAAAATTCCATGTAAATCTGCATACAAACGGTGCAGGGAAGCCATTGGAAAACACAAATGACAATCCTGTGAGCACTGGATCCCAATGGGAAAACTCAAAAAAACACGGGACCCTACATTCACCGCAGGACTCTTGGAACATGGGAATCTCAATTGAGCCAGAGCCCTGAGTCGTTTCTGATGCTTCCAGCAAGCAGATTCAAGTAGAGTGTAAACGCCGTATGCGCCAGGATTTGGGGTTCAGTTTCAAGTTACGTGTACATCCGATAGAAATCCTGAACCCTATTCCGGTCCAAGTGGTCCAAGGATCTTTCCATCGGCAGCGAGGCGCAGTAAGGCCGCAGCCTCGGCAAGCAGAGGAAGAACTGTTGCAGTGAAGACTGACATGTCCGTCGTTTTGGGGGGGCTTATTTAGAGTCTAAGTGGGTTCTTTAGGTGCATTGGACTTTCGCTCGCATGCTCATGATGGTCCTGCCCGAACAGGGCATACACAAGGTATATCAGTTCACACACCCGGACACCTCACAACGACATACATCCCAGGCGAAGCTGATGATCTGAAAACACGGCTCAGCACAAGAAATGAATATGTCAGGCAACGTAGCACTTCCACCCCTAGCCGACCCCTGCTTACCTACTTCATCACTCTGTACACTCTGTACTTCATCACTCTGTACACTCTGAGTTGGACGACTCTCGACGCACGTGCTGTCTCGCGCACCAGGGGGCTCGAACTATGTGATACTTATATCACTATACTACCACCCAAAGGCCCCAAAGTAGTTCCTTTTTGGGGTTCACATGTAGAATCCTATAGGGTAATTCCACAAAGGAACTACTATGGGGCCTCTGGGTAGCGCCCTAAACCCTATGAGCCCTGGACTTCGAAACCTCCAAAGCCTTCCGATTTCGCACGTCGCACCTCGAGCCCAGTGCCGCCGCAGCGCTGCAGCAGCACCTCTGAACAACATGGTTTAGGGTTTAGGGGTGTAGGGTTTAGGGGTTCAGGGTTTAGGGGCTCCAGTTTCTTGAAATTGGGTTCCCTCGTCTAGGAGTCCAGACGGAAAGGATCCTACAATCAAAGGCTCTACAGAAGGCCCCTCTGTTGCTGAAACACCCACACCAACTTAAATGTAAGGTGAGGATTGGGTTTCCAAGCTTGGTTTTTCTCGGATTTACGCTTTAGGTTTCCAATTCCTGGGCTGGGAATTAGGTTAGGGTGTAGGGTTTGGGGTTGAGGGCAAGCTTTTAAGTTGAGCGTGTGGGGTTTGGTTTGGGCTATCGTGCTTACGGTTCGGAACCCTGCTAACCCTACAAAGACTGAACGTGCAGCACCCCGACGGCCCGCAAGCCGTCTCAGGGTTGTGAGCTTCGGGAAACTTTCAGTGTTCGCAGGCATCTCCCCTGAACCCTTCCTTACCCAGTTGACGAAGGAGTTGGGACCCGGTATATTATGCCTAGAGGCTCCGTAGTAGTTCCCTTTGTGGCTCATACTTAGAATCCTCTAAGGTGTTCTCATAAAAGAACTGCTGCACCATGGAGCCTATGGGTATGTCGGAGAGTCAGAGGCCGTAACTTGCAATCCCCACAAAGATGTGAGGATCCCCAAGTACGCCGGGCCTAAGAACCCTCCCTGTCGAATCCAAAGAAGGTCCCTAAAGTGTAGAAGACACCCTTATGCCCTGAGCCCTCAACCCTACCCAAACCCTCCCAAAATGGGTCAAATCATGACACAAAACCTACACAAGGCTCTTATTCTACATACGTTTGGAGTCCAGGTAAGCCCTAAACTCTAAACCCAAATCCCTGAAACCCTCACTGCTGTCACCTCGATCTGCTTCGCAGAGGCCGCCATCTCCGGCCACAGGGCGAGGTAGCCTTGGGTGCTTACAAACGCTACAGAACACCTCATGACCCCCCTACTTCTATGGGCATACTAGGGTTTAGGGTTTAGGGTTTAACTTCTCTGGGCATACACTGGAATACCCCTTAAAAGCAGTAGGTTGTTGGATCCTCAGGCAGTTCTGACACATTTGCTTCCCCAAAGTACGGTGGTAGCACTCTGGGGTTTGTTACTTTCGGAACGAAGGGATTCGGTCGCTGTGGGCGCGGAAGTCCTCAAGGGCCTTTTACTAGTAGGTCTGCCTTAAGGGCTCTTCAAAGTGTCTGGGGTCTACACTGGCATGATGGTGCATATGAAGATGCTTTGGTTCTGCAGGTGGTCTTTTGAAGTTGCTTCACAACCACAACTAACTGTACTTCGGGGTCCTTGTACAAAGGATTCTACTGCTGGCGTCTTTCCTAGCGTCATTTTACCATCGCACGCGCATCTCTACCAAGCTTGACACTCGGCGCTGTGGCGTCTCAAGCGGCAGCCACATGCCGGCTCCGAGACAGTCAGCACGGTGTGGCCGAAGCCTAATTAATATAGGGGCCTGGCCGAACCCTCAATAATATGGGGGCCTTGATAATTAGAATAGGGTTTTGGGCCCATTATACTATAATTATAATCAGGAACCCCCAAAATAGTGTTAGTAATTATTGAGGCCCCTATATTATTCCAGCATTCGTCCGATGTCATCCAGGTGGTATCTCCCATGCCAAGTTGTGCAGACGACCTGCCTCAGGCACAAATGCGTTGATGACACACTTCAGGGCCACACGATTGCATCAGGAAGATTGGCCGTCTCTGGCATCCAGTTCCAACTGAGATCAAGTGTGAGGACAGGACAGTTCGCCTGACTGTCTTCACGTCCCATCTTGTAGCATTCCCTCACATGGCTTCAAAGCCCTAAAATGACACGCTGAGAACTTTACTTAGAGCCCTGAACCTCTATCTTATGCATTTAAACCTTAATGCATTCGCTGACAATGGTTTTTTCTGGGTCGTTTTCGCCATTGCCAGAGCGAAATCGCCGTTGTCAGCGAAGAAATACCGGTTTTCCGCCTGCAAACCAGAAACCGTTCGCTGACAATGGCGAAAACCCGAGAAATCGCCATTGTCAGCGAACGGTTTCCGGCTTTCCGCCGGCAGATCGGTATTTCTTCCCTGGCAATGGCATGTCTTCGCTGGCAACGGCGAAATCGCCATTGTCAGCGAAGGAATACCAATGTTCTGCTGGAAAACCAGTACCCCTTCGTTGGCAATGGCGGTTTCGCGAATTTCCTAGGGTCTGGGCTTTAGGGTCTATAGGGCCTAGGGTTTGGGCTTTAGGATTTAGGTTAGGCTTTAAGTCTTAAGGCCTAGGGTATTTTTGAGCTTTAGGGTTTAGATGTAGGACTTGGGCGTAAGGTTGAGAAACTTGTTTTTTCAACGTTATTATGGGCTTCAGGGTTGGGTGGGTGCTATCTCAAAATTGTAAATAGAACTGTACTGTTAAACTTCCTGGACCGGGGCTGCTGAACCCTAAACCCTGAACCCCAAACCCCCAAACTCCTAAACCCCAAACCCCTAAATCCTAAACCCCGAACCCCAGAACCCCTAAGCCACAAACCCCTACACCCCTCTGAAAACCCGTATAAAAGCTCCCAACCCTTCATATAGGGGCCTGAATAATTAGAATAGGGCTTTGGGGCCCATTCACTATAATATAAGTGTAATAAGGACCCCCCCCAAAAAAAAATAGCATAGGTATCTATTATAAGGCCCCTGTAATTGAGGCCCCTATAGTATAGGGGCCTTAATTATAGGGCTTATAGTGATTACCTGCTCTACAGTACCCCGATGAAGCGATGCATCCGAAGTGCGGACGACGAAGCGACCCAATCCTTCGATCTCCTCGCAGCGTCCTGCTTCGGTGCCCAGATGCTGCACCTGTCGGTACTTCCACGGCCCAAAGGAGAACAGGGGTATATGAGATTATGTATGTATATATGTATCTACATATACATAATACATAAATATATGTATGTATGTATGTATGCATGCATGCATGCATGCATGCATGTATGTATGTATGTATGTATGTATGTGTGTATATGTATATATGTAACGTACTATATATATATATACACATACATATAGGTGTGTGTTATATATATATACACATACATATAGGTGTGTATATACACGTGTTGAGAAATCAGTATGAGTATGGTTGTAGTAGTGGAGAAAACCACAAACTTGGAAGCATCACAAGCACGAACTATAGCTCTCATGGCTGATTGGCTGATGCGACAATGAATCTTCGCAAAGTTGGATAGCTGTCAATGGCTGAACTGTCTATGTGCCCTCGCGCGGACTGAGATAGCTGCAAGCTCGAAACTGAAAAGCACAAAAACGGCGAGGGTCTACGCACCAACGACCCCGTTAACCCCAAGGGCCCACGTGTCAAACGTTTTAGAAGTCCACAAAGGTCTACCTGAAACCCCAAAGTAGGTGAAACAATGTACCAAAACCCTAGACCCTTATATTATGGGAGTCCTCAGCTATAAAGGGCGATTTTTCTACATACTTACCCCAGGTAGGGTTTAGGGACCCATGTGGGAGTCCTAAGCTATAAAGGGCCTTACCCCAGGTAGGGTTTAGGGACCCATATGGGAGTCCCAAGCTATAAAGGGCTATTGTTCTGCATACTTACCCCAGGTAGGCTTTAGGGACCCATATGGGGGTCCTAAGCTATAAAGGGCTATTGTTCTGCATACTTACCCCAGGTAGGGTTTAGGGACCCATATGGGAGTCCTAAGCTATAAACGGCTATTGTTCTACATACTTACCCCAGGTAGGGTTTAGGGACCCTTTGGGTTTAGAGTTAGAGTCTAGGGACCCTTATGGGAGTCCTAAGCTATAAAGGGCCTTTGTTCTACATATGGGTTTAGGGACCCTTATAAGTTAAGGGTCTAGGGGCCCTTATGGCTTTAGGGTTTAGGGACCCTTATGATAATGGGTTTATAAGGTTTCGGGACCCTAAACCCTAAACCCTAGCTTTAGGGACCCTTCTGGGAGTCCGAAGCCTCGTTCCATGCAGATGCTACCGCCTGCGCGGTGGCGGGAGCCCGGAGGACCTCACTGCGACTTTCCAGGCCCGACAGCTTAAGATACGGGCCTTTAAGAACTGGAATATATATATATATATATATATGTTTGATTTTTGTAATGATTTATGTATTTTCATATATTACATATGCTTATAACATATATATATATATATATATATATTGTTGTTTTGTTTGAGGGCTCTTTTCCGCCAATGAGGTTTAGGGTTTAGGGCCTTTCAGAAATGGAATGGGGTTAAGGGCCTTTAAGAATTGGAACGGGGTTGAGGAAAACTTCACTATATCTATGAAAATAGAAAGGAGCCCCATAATGCACCATGTTGACTAATTTTGCCAGACCACACTACACAGTCTGTTTAAGAATTGAGAGCGTCTTTCATGACATCCTGCCGTGGATTGGTACGTGTAATATGGAGCAAATATTGAACAGCATACAAGTTAGTAAATACACCCCGCGAAATAACCCTCGTAAAGTCTCACCAAACCGCTGTCTAAACTCCTAAATCCAGGCCGAAAATCCTGAAGCCCTTAACTCTAAAACCCTGAAGAACTGAAAAACGCCCAAGCCCGTAGATAAAGCACCAGACTAGAACCCTCAAACCCCGAAGCCCCAATATCTGAAATCCTGAAGCCCTGAACCCCGAAAGCTTGCAGACCCTAAACCTAAGACCCTACTTGGAGGTTCATGGGTAGTTATAAGTGGGGTTGCAAGTAAGGTAACAATACTTATAACCCAGATTAATAAGGGGCTTATATCCCCACTTATAACTACCCATGAACCTTCAAGTAAGTCCAGCCCCTCTACCTCCTGGGCCCGTCGGAAGGGCTCGGCGACCTCTGCTTGCCGCGAGATCCAAAACATCCACTCCTGGTTTTGGTTTAGGGTTTACCCATAGGCCCCAAAGTAGTTCCTTTTTGGGATTACCTTATAGGATTCTATATACGAACCCCAAAAAGGAACTACTTTGGGGCCTTAGGGTAGCGTTTAGGGTTTAGGCCGGTTGCTTTCAGGGCTTTAGGCTCCAGGTTCCAAAAGGCTCCTATCTACAGTATTTACGGGTTCTACAGTACAACGCGCTTGAAGGTTTTCGGTGTGTGGGTCATCGTGTTGTGGGTTGTAGGACAAACTCTAGGGTCGAGAATCGAGAGCTTTGGGTTCTCTTAAAAATAAAAATGTGGTTTGGGGGCCCATTAAACTATAATTATAACGAGGAGCCCCCAAAACAGTGTTGGTAATTAATAAGGCCCCTTATATTAGACCCGCTTGAGACTTGGGCTAGGGGTAGCCGGTAGATTCGTAAAATGAAGGGCGGGTGGAGCTTAGGGTCTGGCTGAGTCGGGCTTTGTGGGATTTCTGTGGGGGCCTTAATTATGTTGGGGTACACTATACTATAACTATAATAAGGAACCTTAACAACTAGTATTGGCAATTATTTCGAAGCCTCTATTACAAGCTCCTTCGAGGGGATGTGACAGGTGCTTGGATCCCCAGGTATTTGTATCATCTCCCTCTTCAATACTACGGTGTGAAAGCAGGAATCCCCAAAGCTAATCCCACCTCCCACAGAGTTGACACAAGAACCGCAGCCGTATGCCTAAATCAACTGCGTGTGAAGTGGCGTCATCACGCTGCTCTGGTGGGCCGAAAAGCTCTGCTGCAGCTGAGGAAGCGTCGCAGGTATCCGAGTCTGAACAGAAGCGATGTTCAGGGAGCATTTTTTCAAGGGGGGTCCCAAGTCTCACGGGGATTCGCAGCATTTAGTGGATGCGCAAACAACAAATACACCGCAGAAAGCATTAGAGCAAAACGTACCTACACGGGCAGACGGACAGGTAGATAAATAGATAGGTAGACAGATAGATATGTATAAGTGAATATGGAGATAAACATAAAGACAGATATCGAGGTCTATATACAGATAATTACAGGTCTAGATATCATGAAGGATAAAGCTATAGATACAGATATAGATGTAGATACAGGTATAAATGTTCTTAATACAGAGAAAGATATAGACTTCTATATAGGTTGATGTAAAAAGACATGGACATGTGTATGAAAGTGCATAAGGATCGAAGATTTAAACCGTAGCAACAGATAGCATATATGGATGTAGACAGATTTATGTATGTATGTGCGAACACGTGCGTATAACCTTGACCTTGATGCTGTAAGACTACACGTTTGGTGGCTGGGTTACTGGAGAGGAGGCCGTGCGCGAACTCTTGTGGTTCAGAGTTTTGGTGGTTTGGGATTGGCGACAAGTCACGGCCCACACCTGACTTCCTTGAAATGTACACCTCACGAGGCTGAACCTACTTGAAGGTTCATGGGTAGTTGTAAGTGAGGTTATAAGTAAGGTTTTTGTGCTTTTTGACCCTTATTCGGGGACTCATAACCCCACTTACATCTACTCATGAACCTCCAAGTACTCGTGCTATCAAACCCTAAACAACGCAACCAAGTACGAACTTGAAGTTTGTTTAGCCTTGCCCAGCCTCAGCCGATGTAGGGCAGAGAAGGAGCAGTTGTACTCAATTACATCAGGACATTAAGGGTTTAGGGTTTAGGGTTTAGGGAGGTGACGTTACTTCTCGCGCTGGATGCTCGAGGTTAAGCCCTGAAGTCCATGAAGACTGTGACTAAACCGTAGAATCCTATCCCTGCCGCCAACGACAAGCAACATCTAAACCGGAAAACCCGCCAAAGCCCGAAGCCCCAAACACTCGAAAGCCCAAAACCATCAAACCCCACACGATTCGGCTCTTGTGTCATCCGCGAACGGGCAAAGCTGCAAGCCTTCCCCGGCGCAAAGGAAAAGAAAGCAGGCCCAAAAAAGCCACCGCGAGTGCACCACCATGGCATGAAAAGCGCTTAATATTGTATCAACATTTTAGAAAGAACTGAGTTGCGCAACTTCTCAAAGACTAGTGACTATAGGGTTGTTTTTGTGCAGGGGGTCACTTAAACAAGGAACCTGTCGTGCCTGTTTCGGATGCTCTTTAGAACAAGGAACCTATCATTGGGGTCTACATATTTACGGTCTCGTTTCTCCCTGAAGCTTCGACATAAGACCCACTTCCTGTGACTTGAGGATTCCGTGTACCTCCGGTCTGACCACGATGCTGTAATCCAGATGGACGTGGCGATGGAGGGTTCTAAGGCGGTCATAAGCAAGGCCATCGCGCTCCGCCTGCAATAGCCCAAGCTTCCACGTCAAGAGGTTTCACGGACATGGCAACATGTGTTCACAGGTACATGACATGAGATGTACCAGCTGGTTACCGTCTACCGCATACTGGCCTTGCCACCAGCAATTCATGGATGCATGACACGGTCGGTTTTTGGCTGACAGTTGCACTGTAACCATGCTCTCATACTTGAAACACGCATGCCACTGCGGAACACGTTGCTTAGCAACAGCAGGAGCATGTCAATTTGATTTCCTGCAACTTGTCCAGCATTTCGCTGGACGAAATCACCTGCAAGGAACCGAACTCACCTTCAAATGGCATATGGAGGCGATAAAGATGCATGTCCTGCATGCCAGGCGGGCGGGGTTTGATTAATATATATATATATATATATATATATATATATATATATATATATGGAGAGAGAGAGAGAGAGAGAGAGAGAGAGAGAGAGAGAGAGAGAGAGAGAGAGAGACAGAGACATAGATATATACACTATGTGCATATCCATCTATTTAAAGAGTCATTTGTGAGGCCAACACTCATAGACATGCCCTGAGTGTAGGGCTACGGATCAGTGGCCGCATGTCCTGCGGGACGTAGAATGTTCGCATGATCTCGCGCCAAGCCCATCGCTGATACCGACCACGGCAACATTTGTTGAATCCTGCGGTTTAGGGGTTTAGGGGCGCAGGGGGGTTTAGAGGTTGGGGGTTTAGGGGTTTAGGGATTATAAGGTTTAGGGATTATAGGGTTTGGGGATTATAGGGTTTGGGATTAAGCTGTATAGGATGTGAGATTTAGGGCCTTAGGGTTGAGGCACTTTTTTGACTCCTGCGGTGAAGCTGGGGCCGGTATAGCCTTTGCATAGCCTGGGCTGCTCGACATCAGGGCACACAGCACAGACATGGGAGTTTCCGAAGATAGGGGACCCTACTATAGTACCTGGGGTTTAGGGTTTAGTACCCTAAATAGTAGGATCCTTCTTATAAGCAAGCCAACATGCATGTTGCTTTTCGGAATCCGAGAAGCACAGCCGTAAAACCTTCCGTTTTGTGTTCCACACCCTCCCCCCCTTGGTCGACGGTGAAGAGATGCAGCCTGATTTCATTTCCAGGGATCGCCTTCTTGGAGTAGTTCCAAATGATAGCCAGCGGTGCCATCGCGATGTCAGCCATGATGGCGAGAAAGGAGAAGAAGACAAAGAAAATGCCCAGGGGTAGGAAGGGGTACCGTAGGGCGCAGTACCACAGCCAGGAACTTGCCTCGGCGTGAACATGCACGCAACCGGACACCCTTACTATCTGAGCTAAGTTTTCTCACCACTGCCTCGAAACGCACACGCGCACACAGAAACTGACTTCTGGCACGTTAACTTAAGCTCAAAGGACAAGCATGCGTCCGTGATCTCAAAACCAGCAAATGAGATACCGCATGTACTTCCATAAACCTCCTGAAGTCATCAAGCGCGGCAACGACCTCAATCCCATCCCGAGGCTTCTAGTATAACATAAGCGAGTATGATCTAGTCTAACTTGCATGTTACATTGCCGAATGTTGCATCGGTATACCGAGCTATTACGAGCAGGCTTCTTGATGCCAGGGCACTTGGTATTCACAGAAGAAGCGATTCTCATGGCCATGAAACTCGAGGATAACTTGGGCCCACTCCTGCACGTTGGCAAGCAAGCTTTCAATCTAGAGCACTGCCAAGACTAGACGTCAGGAGTTTCGGCTTAAAGCTTAGTAATTAAGCCACATTGTATACATTACGAGTTCTGATGACTGAACTGCTCTAGAAGCTCAGAAGATCACAGGTATGTGGCAGGCCTTTTCTGAAAACAGACAAGCCTGGAGAACGGTGATTGCCTTGCCGACACGCGGCTCAGAACCCAAAAGTGGCACCCTACGCCTCTGCAAGACCACTTCATGTCGTTTTGAGTTCTGGCGAAACACATATTACCCCGAACTTCGATTCCAAAACTTCCTCCCCTTGCCAACTCCCCAATCAAACCCCAAGTACAAGTAACAGCTTTTAGGCTTGAAGAGAACGGAACTGTGTTGAAACGACGCCGCAATGGTCTCTTAGCTGAACTTTCAGTGTGGGTGCGCCAAAGTTGGTTACTCCGGACTAGACCTCACAGAGCTCAAGCGGAAATTAAGGTACATGAGGTTTCGGAGGTTGGGAGTCTAGAGGGCTTCCAGCCGGCAGGGCATCATTATCCTGCATACCCACGCAACCTGGTTCACAACCGCCACGGTTCAGAGTTTGGGGGTTTAGGGTGGTGCTGGGTTTCGGGTTCAGGGTCCTGCTTTCCCTCGGGCAAATGCTGTGTCGAGCCCACAGGAACGTCTGAGGCCTGCTGCATGGACGACAAGACCTCTGCTGCTGCGAAATAAGATGCAAACGCTTCTCGTAGAGCCTATCAACCCCATTACCATAAGGGCAAAGTCCACACACAATAGCCAGTCTGTTGTGTATGAGGCCCCTACGCCCTCGACCCTAATCCATGCGCTGATCAGGAACCCGGCGTTGCAGCAGCAAAGATGTAGCTACAGTACCCGCGGCAGCACTACAGCGATAGGCACCACACCACCATCATCATCATCATCATCATCATCATCAACAGCAACAAGGACTTCAACACCACGACGACCAAGACTACCAGCAATGCCACCATCGCCACCACCCCCACCACCAACAACGACAGCAGCAACAAAGGACAATGAGGATGAGGAGGAGGAGAAGCAGGAGCAGGAGCAGGAGCAGGAGGTGGAGGAGCAGGAGCAGGAGGTGGAGGAGCAGGAGGACGAGGACGAGAGCAACGAACAACAGCAGTTGAAATGCTAACCATGGCAAAAGATATCGTGATGGTCAGCACATAACTAGCCATTTTCATACCTAGTCAGAACCAGATGAGGCGAACGAAACTGACGAAGAGCCCGTAAGAGTATCAAGTGACAGAACCCTAGACAGCAGGATCCTGAAATTATCATTATCGACCCCCAAAAGCCAAATCCCAAAACCTAGACCCGAAAGCCTAAAAAGGAAACCTGAAGCCCTCAAGCCCTCAGGCTTGCGTTCCCACAGCTCACCATCGAACGAGAGGCTGCCTTTACGTTCTCCAACCCACTTCCCGGCTCCAGGGTCTGAGGGCAGATATGCCAAGCCGGAGTCCACCGTTTAGCCTTGGGATTCCATCGAAAGTGGCGAAATAGGGTTCAGGGTTTAGAATTTAGGGATGTTTGCGGATAGGGTTTAGGGTTTAGGGAGTTCCTAAAGGGTGGTCTTGGGGATTTCCAGTCGGTCTTGTGAAGGAGCGTTGAACGTTACCATAACCCGGGCATCATGTGATCAGTCGGGAAAACTCAAGCACTTCCTGTTGTTCTTGAGAGTCTACATGTTCCTACTACTAGTCCTGCTAGTATTGTTACCATGATTCATGTGCTGCTGCATCTTTCGGTAGGGTAACTTGTACTCTGCAGCAAGTTTCTGAAACTTACCTGTGGTTAGTAGGGAATGGAGGAAGGGGGTATAATTACAAGTACTATTACTACCATTCTTCCATTCCCTACTAACTACCCTAAGGCCCCAAGGTAGTTCCTTTTTGGGGTTCATATATAGAATCCTATAGGGTAACTCCAAAAAGGAACTACTTTGGGGCCCCTGGGTAAAGACAGGCACAGCGGCAAGCAGACTGAAGCCGGTGGGATCGTTCATCTTTAGAAGTGTCCGAAGCGCGGAGATCTCAGTCGGGTCAGAGATCTTACCTAAGCTGCTCAACGTTCAGTACCTCCTGTGACCAAAGAAGTGCATACATCTTTGGGTTAAATATGCTATATTGCAAACCAACACCAAAAAACACACAAAAAATGCACCTTACACCCACACCCGGAACCCCTAAACCACTGAACATCCTGGTTACCAGGCATGACGACTTCCAGGATTCGATGGCCGGCGTGGATCGCCGGTCCGAGATCTATATCCTTGGCTGCTCTTTCGGGCCCTTGAAATAGGCTGTGTTTGTCTTCCTTCTTCTTAAGAACATAATTTCCATTCTGACCTTTCAAAACTCTGCTTCTTCCGACGAATAGAACTAATTAATATGCTAAGCTGCTAATTATATACTTTAAGACTTTAGGGCTGTTGTTCAGAAGAGCCTGGTGTCGGTCATGCAGGCGCTTGGGTCTGAGACCTCCTTGGACCGAGCTTGGAAGCGTAGTAGCAATCGCCCCCTCCCGCTGTGCAGGGCACAGAGGCACCGGAAAGGGTAAGTGATGATGTCCTGGGATGCCCAGAAACCTAGGAATAAAAAGGGCTCCCTTTTTGGTATTGGGTAAATTTATAAGGAACTTAATTAGGACTACAGAAAGGGAATAAGGGTACCACTGGGCATCCCAGTATCGAGTAAAACAAGGACGACCATGAGATGTATGAACATCACGTAGTGGCAGGCGTAGTGCCAAATCCGGCTCACCATGGGGAATACTGGCGTGTAGCTTGCCTCATTGATAACAGCCACATAGACGAAGTCCTCCACGGTCAGCTCTTCAAAGCTCGGCAGCGTGCGCGTCTGGTCTTCAGCGTCTGCCATTTCTTTTAGTTCGAACTTCAAAACACCAGTGGTTCAGAGCTTGAGCCCACTCTACTCAACAACGAAGGCCCAAGGAAATGTCCGAATAGGATGAACGGATCTAGTGTTTTGTTGACAGTTAATCTGTTCTCTAAATACTAACCTTACAATCACTATTATTGTACTTGCCACCACCACTCGTACTCCTATACTACCTCCTGCTACTACAACAACAACTACAACTACTACTACCACTACTACTACTACTACTACTACTACTACTACTACTACAACTACTACTACTACTACTACACCACTACTACTACTACTACTACTACTACTACTACTACTACTACTACTACTACTACTACTACTACTACTACTACTACTACTACTACTGCTACTACTACTGGCTACTACTACTGCTACTGCTACTACTACTACTACTACTGCTACTGCTACTGCTACTACTACTACTACTACTACTGCTACTGCTACTACTACTACTACTACTACTACTACTACTACTACTACTACTACTACTACTACTACTACTACTACTTCCACTACTACTACTACTACTACTACTACTACTACTACTACTACTACTACTACTACTACTACTACTACTACTACTACTACTACTACTACTACTACTACTACTACTACTACTACTACTACTACTACTACTACTACTACTACTACTACTACTACTACTACTACTACTACTACTACTACTACTACTACTACTACTACTACTACTACACTACTACTACTACTACTACTACTACTACTACTACTACTGGGGCGTATGAGGTGTGCGCAGGCGGCTGTAGCGATGTCTGGCAGCACTCGCCTAGCACACCTCGTCTAAAACAAGGTTAGTCGTACTTAACCGATACCAACGGGGAATAAAGTTCAAACACAATCTCAGAACCCCTGCTTTATCAAGCCCTCAAAAAACCCTAAACCAAAACCTGACCTGGCAAATGCCTGCAGGACAGGAACCCTCCAGCCGATTGAAGCTCCCTCGTCACCTTACTCTATTCACAACACACCTTGAGAATCTGCACTCTTCACTTCACGGCTTCCTCATCCGCGGGGTAGGTTTTGGATTTAAGGTCTACGGATGTTTACGGCCTAGGACTTTTGAGAGCCTGGGGCTTGCTGGGCTGGAAATTTACGAGCTGCAAGCCTCGCCACCCAACAGCCGGAGAGGATCGAAATCACTGCCAAACACGCTTCTCGAAGCTGGCAGCGAACCCATCACTGAACAAAGAGGAATCCCAAGGAGGGATTCAGGCTGCAGCTTTCGGGTAGGCGGGGTCAACTTCTGCAAGCCTGAAACCCCTTAACCATCATACAGCAGTGGCTCTCACACCTGCAAACCTGAAAACCCTACTGATAAGACATGAAGAGCAATCCATTACACGTCTTGTGAAGATCTCCTGCCTTATTAACTCCATGTAGACCAGCTAGACGGTGTTCTAATGTAGGGGCTTTAATAATTAGAAAAGGGTTTGGGGGGTTCCTTATTATGCTTAAGGTATACTATGCCCCTCGAACCCTATTCTAATTATTAAGGCCCCTGTATTATAAGTATCTTTCACAAGCCCTGCAGCAGCCCAGGGCGATCTTTGGCGAAGACTGTCATTTCAGAAGGTCTTCATTTGATGCTGGCAGCACGACCCTGAGCGGCTCGAGGCAATTGCTCACGGTTTCCATTGACTTGACCGTTTATATGGTATTCTACATTCTACAGAACACCTTTGGAGATCCTGAACTACTGAAACATGGAGGTGCCGGTCTAAGCTGAAGGCTGCAGGGCTCAGGCTTGAGGCTTTTGGGCCATGGCTCTCTTCTGATCAATCAAGCAGTTGCATGAGAATTCCTCTCCACTCCTATTGAAGGGGGCCTTGATAAGTAGAAGGTATAGTATACTACTTTTATTCGCAACAAGTCGCAAGGAACTAACTTTACGTATATTTTATTCCCACCTCTACATTCCGCCCCAACCAAGTTCAATACCTTTGGCAGAGACAAAACTCTTTTTCCTCCCAAAGACAGAGAATCTTGGGGCCCTCACACCTGGCTGGGTTTACAGTTCGGGCCTAGGGACCATGTCGGAAAAGCCACACACACACACACACACACACTCTCTCTCTCTCTCTCTCTCTCTCTCTCTCTCTCTCTCTCTCTCTCTCTCTCTCTCTCTCTCTCTCTCTCTCTCTATATAGGGGGGGGGGGGCGAGATATATATATATATATATATAATATTATATATAATATGTATATATAATATATATATATATGTATATATATATATATATATATATTGTGTATATATATTATATTAATATATTTGTATATATATATACATATATATATATATATATACATATATATATATATATACATATATATATATATATATATATGCGTGTGTTCCTTTATTTAAGTGTGTATGTATTGTTATCTCTATACATAGGGCTCACTGCATGGATAGACGCGCTTTTGGCTCCTGTGTTTTCAGTCTTTCTGATCCGGACCTAGTAGTCCTGTGTAGCAGATCTGACAATGCGACAGATGCAGGCTAGCGAGTAAAACCTTGAATCGCAGAAGCCTTACCGCAGTCGCTATTCAAGCGTGATCTCAGGGGCTGAGTACCCCAGCTCAGAAGAGGTTAACTTTTCAAGTATTGTAGGATTATATCACCCCCCAGAAGGTCAAAGGCTACCCACGCAGTTACGAAGTGACGACATAATGCAGATCTCCGAGAATCCATGGTAGTACCGGGGGTCTTCCTCAGCTATCCTTGAACTCTATAGACGTTCAACCCCGAAGCCCTTATACTTTAGCCAGATTCAGACCTGATACCCTGAAACCCAAACCAACAGAATCCTGAGCTATACCCTAAACGTCCAAGTCCAAGTGTACAAGTACTGCCCCTTTGGGGAATCCGAAATATACGCTTTAGAATCATGCTCCATTGAAGCCAGCTCCTAAACACTAAACCCCAAAACCCTAGACCGAACAAAAACCCGCTTAAACCCAGAAGCCCTGAACTGGGTAACCAGGTTAAAGCCCGTTTTGAAGCACGGGGCATCGCGTCCCGCAGGCGTTGCTTCTCAATCTCGTCCTTGCGAAAGTCCAGGAAAATGGCTTAAGGATTGGAGCCTGGGGTCTTCCTATCAAAGGGGAAAAGGAGGGACCCTTAATGGGGACCCCTACCCTATAGTGGGCTATATAACGGGTATATAATAGCTATGTTAAGGGTATATACGTAGGCATCCTTATTAAGGGTCCCTCCTTTTACCCTTGGATTGTAGTTCCTTTTCTGGTTACCCAGTGTTATGGCATTTTATGGTTAGGATCCTATAACAGAGATTTTGGTCAACACAAAAAAGGAACGACCATGGAGACTATAGGTAGGATTCTTTTGGGCCATAGGACTTATGATGATTAGAGTTTGGGGTTGATGGTTTCCGCCTTGAGGATTCGACACAAGGCATGAGGGTTGAGGAGCAGTGGTTTGAGGTCTGCGTCTCAGGGCTCAGCACAAGTTCTGTGCCGATGTGCAAGATGAAGGTTTCGAAAAACAAAGCACAACTTAGAGTTCCGTAGAACCAGGATCGTTCTACTTCGAGTCTGTCTCGGGTCCCCGAGTCTAAAATGAAGCCTGACGTAGCAAGCAAGAGTTTTGCTTTCGCTCCTGCATGGAATCTTACAGGTAGCTCGAAGAGAATCTCCGACCCTTGAGGTACATGCTGCAGGCTTTGGCGTGTAGGGGTTTGCCCGAGGTTTGAGTACTTAGACGGACAATTTGGCGAGAGTGTGCTAAACCGGATATGGGTAATGAGCTATCTTAAGAAATGTTACAGACGTAATTAGTTTAAGCAGTACTGGTGCATGAACAGTTGAGAATATGGTATCCCGTGATACGGATACTCCACATATAACCGTAGCACATGTATACCCAGTCCTTAGCATAACTTCGAAGGCCCTTATACTACCTCTCTGTACGCTGAAGCCAAGCCCTAATCCTTAAATCCGATTCCCTGTTCCAACTACCAAGGCCCTATACTAGAGGAGATCCTGCCCTTCGATATGCCCCGTCCTTTGCAAGGAGAATTCTCAGCTTGCCGAACAGCTGCCCAGCCTCCGGAAAAATCAGTCTAAGCTTGATGAGTATACCCCTGGTTCCTTTTTGGAAGTACCTTATAGGATTCTATATACGAACCCGACAAAGGAACTACTTTGGGGCCTTAGGGTAAGCAAAGGTTTGGGGTATAGCCCTGCACAGTGGGCCTCAACAAACATGACGGGGTTCCTGGGCATAATTACGTGTATTTTACTATGATGCGGAGCCCCAAGGAAGAACAAGATTAAAGCGTACATGATGGTTCAATTGTAAAGCTAGAATACCAGTTAGAATGACAGCCATAACTCATAACAATATTGGCGATTGATTGTTCGGCCTTTATACAAAAGGTGTCAGGGCGGCATAGAAGTCTGTCAGAGCGGATTGAACCGGCAACATGATCAGCGTCTTTCTCTCGGCGTGCGCACCTAAGCAGGGCAGCGCACATACGATCTGTCGCAGAAGCTGCATGTTCATGACATGTCAGTGCGACGAATCCTTCACTCTGCTGATGTATACCACGAAATGGGAGTTTCCGAAAATTAGGGGTACCTTGTTTTAGGAGTCTGTAGAATAAGGATCCTACTATTTAGGGTACTATATTGGGGTGCCCTATTTTCGGAAACCACCAAATAAACTGCAAAATAACGCAGTCCTAGCTTATGGGTTTCGAAGCTCGCCCCCGACCGCGCCTGCACATAGAGCCGATAGCTCCAAGAAGGCTTCCTGGGTAGAGATGCTGGGTTACATCCTCATACAGTGTATACTTGGAGGTTCAGGGTAGTTATAAGCGAGGGTTTATAAGCAAGGTAACTATGCTTATAACCCTTATTAGGGGACTTATAACACCACTGAAAACTACACATGAGCCTCCAAGTAG